TTAAAATGCATCTACAAGCCGAGTTAAAAGTTAGCACCAAGTTACATAAGTTAGGTCGAAGTTTAATTTAAAAAATTGTACAGCAAACGCAATTGGAAAAAAGAGAACCGCATTTTCAACAAGTTCTCAAGCGGCGTAGTCGCAATATACATCTCCGCGTATATTTGAATACCGCATCTCGCATTTATATCGCGAGATGTGATTCCCTGAGCTCGAAAATTTGCTATAATTCAACATGACGTTCGCAGCGAATCGCCACCCTTAAGGCTGTATCACACTGGCAGTCTTATCATTGTTTTTATACCTCGATAAAAGTTTTATGGCCGGTTCACAAGTGTTGTCCAGCCAGGCACGTATGTAGCCACAACAGCGCTATGGACATTCATTTTCACAGACACGACAATTGCTGGCAAAAAGTGGGAACCTTTATTGCTGAGGGTTTTCAACAGTGAACGAAAAAGTTTTTGTTTTTATACCCCCAATAAATACTATCTTTATTGCGTCGGTTAAAACATAATATTTTTTTTTAATACCGTAATAAATAATTTTAGAATGATAACAAAAACTGTTAAACCAGGTAGGACCCGAACCTACAACGAACAGCATACCATGTCCTTACGTTGCACATTGCCACAATTTAATTGAATTGAAAAATATAGTACCCTGTTGGTTGGAGTATTAAAAAAAACCCGTCTTTAAGTTTAATATTCCATTTTCATTATGGTTTATTGTTTGATGTAGAAAAAGGAAAATGTATATATACTTATAACGATTAAAACACGAAATATAGGAGTTAAACTCGTGACCCTCGTGACCACGGCTGCTGCAAAAGGTCCGAAACGTGGGATCACAGTTCATATAAATAAACAATAAGTTGGACTAGTATATTTCGCGTTTTAAACTGTAAAACTGCTTATCTTCGCGAGAACTATAGACAATGCTATGGAAAATAATGGTTCTATTTTGCAGTGGGCAGTATGAATCCTCCTTAGTTCTGTTACGTCACGAACAGCCGTAATATTAGAGCAATAATTTTACAGCGCAAGGTCCGGTTTATCTTAGTGCTTTGAAATAACAGAATGCTTAATGAGTGCGCGATATTAAAACTAACTTTCTTGCTTATTCCCTTTGTTTGCGTAAACATTTGAACGGTTTATCCGTGGCAATGCTCTGAGACGCTGCCCCGGAACATTTACATTTTCTCTTGCAAACCATTTGTGTATTAAATAAAAAATGAAAAACAATAAAGTCTATCACACCTTCTAATAATCTAATACTTTATATACAACAAGCCACGTAAAATTGCACTGTTAAGCAAATAAAACACTAGACTTACTTATGCTATACAGCAAAACTAACGCGCGTATTTAAAACCTTAGAGTTAAACGTTTTTATTTTATTATGAATAAGTAAATGTTTTTAAAATAACACTATTACTATTAGGAATCGCATTTAAAGATGTCCCATCTCTAAATGCAATTCCTATTATTAAATACTAGCTCTGTCCGCGACTTCGACTGCGAGGATTCATTAAAATGTATTTTTGCAAGCAACCTCCTTAGTTTTTATAATTCTGTAAATAGACGTACGTGTCCTGTAGTTCTTGCGAGTTAATCTTAAAAGATAGATTCGCGTCGCGTCGCGTCAAGGAATCATTCTTTCATACATTGTTATTGAACCGTTTTCACAGCGCCCTCAAATTTTAATAATTTTCCGCGCTCTCCACATTTTCCACCGTTTCTTCGATCCGATTGGTTACAGGTGATGTTATATAGCCTAACACGTTCCTGGGTATTTGGTCTATCACACAGAACAATATTTCATTTCGAACTAGTGATTGAGATTAGCGCGTTCAAACAAACAAGCTCTCGTATAAATGTATAGATTTATTAACATGCTAAATACTTCAAACTGTATATTTTATTCATGACGTCACGTTCTAACTTGTCCATATTTCCTGGCAACACTTACAAAACCCGATCGTAAATTACGCAGAACGTGTTTCGACTAGCCTCACTCGTTTTTATTTTATACACGACTCGAAAATACTCTTGGGAATTAAAACCCAAGCCATCAAACGATTATTATATTTGAGCAAATACTTAAACGAATTTTCCGAGTCGTGTGCTAAAATTTTCAATTACTTATCCATTTAGAAACGATTGGGACGTACTTATTATTTGCGCAAGAACAATGTGGAAAAATTATTTCTTCTTTTCTGGGTTGAAAATTCGGTGTTTTTTAGTTTGGTTAACTTACGTTCGACGGGTCGTGAGCTTTGTCTCCACCGGACATTATATTAAACATTTTATAATTTTTCTAAAACGTGTTGGATTTCGTCTGGATATTTAAAGGGATGGTAGGAATATCAAATTTCTGCCAGCGCCATGAAACACGTGTAAATACCGTGATCCAAAGCAAAATAGGCCGAGAGCGCATCGTGCTGATATGTTATATGTTGGTATTTATGTCACCGTGCATTAATTTCATTAAATTCTTATCTTTCCTCCTAATTACAAAAATCAATAGCTCTAATTGTTTTCAAAGTGAAAATGTTGGTCATAGAATTTCGGAAATCTATATAAATGTTATTTACTCAGGAATTAGTATAAGCAATTAAGCTAAACTCGCCCTGTCACAATTTGCTATTATTTATTAGGTTTATTTAGGAAACATTATAGACGTCGCAGCGAGCTTGTCCGCCATTACTCAAGTTGGCTTAACTCGTTGAATTTTAACTGAGATTTAGTTTGGTGCTACGTTTAAACAACATTTCCATCGTTAGAATAACGCGGGAAATATTCTTTGTAATAAGGGGTAGAGTGTTCGATTTCGGTTGGTATATCGAAAAATCGAAGCATGAATTTACTGTCCACAAATAGACGCTAAGTGTAGCGCTTTTCAGTTATAGTCTGATTCAACCATGACACCTGCGGGAATCGAACCTGAAGCCCCACAGCGTGCCGATGCCTTTATACACCAATTGAACTACCCTGTCACGCCGATATACATCGTCGATGATTGTATTGTTGCGATTGTAGGATATATACAATTTCTACCTCCAAACTTACAATTTAAACACTGTTCAAGTAACTGACTATGTGTGAATGGAGCAAGAAGACGATATCCCAAAGGCGTATTTGCGATTTAAAATAAATGTGGGGATTGGTTGGGGCTCAGACCGCGTCGTTTAACGCCAGGCCCGTTACGCAAAAGTGCCAAGCGTGAATCAGATCGGAAATAAGTTTTGTATAAAAAACGAATTTCAATGTTTCCTATATTCCTATTCTATAAATGTGTTATCGATTTTTCGAAATAAATTAGATTTTTAATAGAACTGTTTATTTACATAATAAATAAACGTAGGAACTACATGTTTGTGAGTTTATTGCTTTAGATTAAATAACCACTCAGCGGTCGGCAAGAGGCATTGATGGACGAACGTGTGAATACGTAAACCCATCAATGCCTAGTTGCGGCTAAGGCTTTTTTAGTACTTACTTAGCACAAGTAATACGCGGAATATAAAATAATTATTTTTCTTACTAAACAGCTTTCCATGTTCAAGCCGTTCAAATTCCAATAAAACGTTTGGTAAATTACCTCTTTGGTCGCTCCACTTTTCACTTTTAAATAACGCGACAAATAAGGTTTTACACGGTAATTTATTTGGCCACTTAACACGTTATTGGGATCAAACAACTTTTGCCGGCCGCTGCTTGACCAGCGACTTCAATTTATCTCGAAGAAGGTTGTCAAAATAATATTTAATGAGTGGGTTCTACTTATCGCACGACACGGGCGGTACCTGTATCGACATTCACATTATTCCGTGCTGTTTGTCTACCCACTTGTGACACGGTAGCTCAATTAATAAGAAAAAGAATAGAAAGACGTCGGCGCGATTTTTGTACTGACGAATTGAGTTTAAGGGCTGGAGTAATGTAATACGGCAAGGCGCTTAGAAAGCGAGGGTCTGGAAGAGGGTCGCAACTGCTAGGCCCTGGTCTTTTAGTGGGTAGCGTCCCATACTCTCCACATCATTAATAGCTTAGGGATACATAATGTATTTCCCTAAGTGAAAAACAAACTCAAGTAGCCCACACTCTGAGGATAACTTTATATATTATATTTTTCTTGTATAGTTAAATAAACAAATGCTTTAAAGAATAAAAATGTCGCATAGATAAAATTTTGAATATATAGATATCATATATGTCCCTACGCTTCGATTCACACATCCTGCCGTTATGACAAAACGGAATTTCCTATTCTTCATACCATCGCTTTCCCTTAAGTGGAGCAATCAATTTTACGAGCCGGAACTCGGAATTGAATCCCGCAGCAAACTGATGCAAATTGCGTCTCCAGCTGCATTCCCCTCGATATTACAACGCGATTGTCTTCTACGTGTGTTCATCGCGTTAGGAACCTTTAAATAAAATACTGTTTCAACTACCGGGTCGTGGGTTCGATATGCACCGAGTTCCAACATGGTTCTCACTATACACTTACTTAAAACGCGATATATTAGTTAAACTTATTTGAAAATGATTTTTAACTTCGGCTAGACGTTTCGGATGCTTTGCAGCAGCCGTGGTCAGGGGAGAGGAAAGTGTTTTATTTAGATGGTAAGAATATCCTAATCTGACCGGGTCACGTGAGTTAATTTGTGTTTCGGTTCTTAATCTGTGGATTTCCCATAGAGATGCCAAAAATGGAAGCCTTATGGGATATCCCAAGTGCAGCCCTCGCTTGTCTTGCATCTGACAATGGTTTTAGGGCCCCGTACCATGGTAGCGAATCTAAACCCAAAAATAAGTACTAACAGAATTTACTTTTTATACATTATAAATTAAACGAAAAATTGTGTGGGTGGTAAATAATAAGTACAACTTAATTATTGAAATATATCTTCATATTGGAATTATAACGTGGTATAAAATTTAAATATCACATTTCTTGCATACGTAAATAAAAGTATATAAAACTATAAATTCTTATGTAACTAAGCTTAAATTATGATCATGGCTTTCTGCGCACGTACCTGAAATAAATAAAATGTTTTTTTGTTAATATTTTATTACAGAGAACTGAGGTATGAAGTTAACATAGTCTTGTGCCCGTCTCACTGATCAATTTTATTTACGGACAATTTATCGTTCCTCCGGGATGCAAACCTAGAACTTATCGTGATTAATGCAATGATAAACAACTCGTTTGACTATTGAGCTAAGGAGGCACAATACTATCCTCTAATCAAATTATTTATGAGTACTCAACAACGTTAACATATATTACCTAATATAAATGGCTCAATAGTGGGGCCATGAACAAACTTGTCCTTCATATCCGGTGCCAAATCTTGGAACAGTTTTCTTAGCTTGGCGTCGAAGTTCCATAATAATACCCGGTTCTTGTTCTTCTCTAAATCTATTATCACTGTTATAAGATTCTGTAAACAAAAAAGTAGCGTAAAACTTATTTATATAGGTCGCGGCACGGATGTTTATCGCTGAACGTAGCGTAGAGGGGATAGTTGCGAATCTGTACGATCGCGCACGTAATTGATTGGTAAAAGTGACTGTACTCGAGAAATATAGACATAATAGACAGTATTTCATCATAATACATAGTAAAAACCAGGAATAATTTTTATTATGTGTAAGAATAAATGTCACATATATGGTAGTGTTTTCTACCTCTGTTACTCCGAAATCACACGAAGTGAGTTGTCTCCCATCAAACACAAACACTAAGCTTCGTGTTTGGCTTTGCGCGCGCACTTTGCCGGCCACGTGCTCGGCACTTGCGTACGATAGAGCCCCAACCAGCGAGATGGATATACAGTCCTGGTTGCCAACCTACAAATATTGTGTATGGTTAAACTGGTGACCATCAGCGCTAAAAAGCAGGTACCGATCTTTTTTTTTTCATTATTATAAGGTTTTTAATTTTTCACTCAAGGTGAAAATTTTATCAAGAAATCTACAGTAAGATAACATTTATTTAATCAAAAGTAAAATTGTAGAAAATAAGTATCCACCATCTTTGTTTTGGTTATGGATATTTTTAAATTGCTTTAATATTGGTAAATATATTTTGGAATGTTGGTAATTTTAAATAAAATGTATTTTTTAGTGTTAGTATACCTTAAATTGTTGTGTATAAAGTCTAGGCCTCGATGCAGACAGAAGGGCCCGTATCGCGTCCACTGCTACACCAGCTGCGATACCGTACTCCAACCCAACGAATATTCCCACGCACACAGTCACACACCACACACCTAATTCTGGTTCTGAAATTTCAGGTTCTGGGTTATGACGGTGATTTAACTCCATAGTACTATTATAGATCTGGTTTGGAAATTAAAAGTAACTTGTAGTGCCGGCTACAACTTTTTGTTAGAAGAAATTTTCGACAGATGTAACATCACTTCTATAAGAGAAATTTTACCAAAAAAATTAAGTGAAAGATTATTCCGACATTAATCCATCTAATTAATATACTTACTACTATTCATCCAAAGCTTCTTGACAATGGACAACTCCATAATGGAAATCATGGCCACCATGATGACACCCGCAAGCGTAGCTCGAGGGATGAAGTAGAACGCCTCTGTAAGTAGTGTCACGGCTAGTAACACTACACATGCTGGAAAAGACAATATTATTAGTTTTAATTAGTAACAGGTACGAAACCCACAGATTGTATCGTTAAAACCATTTGAAGTCCATAATTTTAAGCAAAGACGTGAAAAAATAACACTATAACTGACCTTAAATTACGTCTCGTAAAATAAAATAAAAATGTATTCTCGTTTTGTTTGCTAAAAAGGCCTTAATACTTGGTTTATTTATTTTTAGTAGCAGTAACTTGCCCTTTGTAGTAATCTAATAAAGTAGGTCGCTAATTAAATTCCCGCTCGATGGACCAGAGACCCGGTGCTTATTAAACACAAAAGACGCATGCTTATAAGAAGCAGTAATTAAACAAACCTTTAAAGAAGGACCCAGCTGGTGTAACAACCCCGCTGGCATGGTTCAGAGCTGTCCGAGTAAACGATCCTGTTGCCGGCATAGCTGAAGCGAACGAACTTAACAGGTTACAAGCCCCGATTGCTATCATCTCTTGCGTACCATCCACGGGTTTGCTGCCGGCTGGAAGAATAATAAGTTTAAATAAAACACTTTACAAACGCGATATATATTTTTAACTTGGCCCGACGTTTCGAATGCTTTGCAGCAGCCGTGGTCACGGGGAGATAGTCTCCCCGTTAAAATGTTTTATTTACATGTGTACTACTCGCATAAACTACAGATAGTAGGATCACAAGTACTAAGGTTTGTAGAACTATAATCCAACTACGTAAAACTGGAAAGCGCAAGTGCACAATGTAAATTCAACAATTCAAAAAACAAGAGAGTTCTTAGAAAAATTGTGCAGTTTAAAAGATTAATGCGCTATTTTTAAAATATTCTTTCCGTTAAGCACACCATTAATGAAAAGAAAAAAATATTTCGATATAGCCTACTGTATAAAAGTTACCAAAAGCCTTAGCGATGGCGACGCTCTCAAGAATGGTGACTAACGGCATCACAAGTCCTCCAGGGCCAAAAGTCGCAAGCATTTGATCGAAGCCCAGCGTCACATTATTCACGATTGTGCTGAACGGTGGCGGGCCGAAGCGGGGTAGACCACCTTCGATTGTTCCTATAATTTTAACACTATAGTTATCTTTATTTAAATTATCAAAAAGTGTATAAGTATACGATATTAATTAATGAGAAAATATATCAAATGTCTGACTGTGAGGCGGAAGTTGTCATTAAGTAGTAGTTCTATTACGATAATTGGACGTCGATATGGCGTTGTGATTCTCAAATTTACTGTAAAAAATACAACGCATAATAAGAACAGGAGGCAATTTGCTTACCACAGCCACCAGTAAAATACCTACATATTGTAATGTCAAATGTGTAAAAATGTATAAGATCTAAGACTAAAATCTAAGAGTTTGTTTAACACAACTCGTGTTTCGTCGTACTAAATATGCTCAAGAAATATTTGCACTGCGATAAAAAGTGAACAATGTTTTTTTTTTGTTTAATAATAACCAATATGTAAACAATAACATGTTCCCTCAACCTATAATATAGTACTTCAACATAAAGTATATCAAAATTTTTATAGTATCTCCCAATGTACAAACACTTTACTCTGTCAAGACTACCATAACTGGGGACCAAAAAACTAAATAAAATATATATTTTTATAATTTTCTTCTAACAAAAGTAATGAAATAATACCTGTTAAGTGGAATGGAATGATATCATTGCGGAACAGAATGAATGCAAGTAAAGAAGCTGAGAATACGACGATGACGTTTCTGGCGCGCACCGCGTACACCCACAAACGGGACGCCCTCAACATGCACGATCCGGAACTATCGGAAGTTTTGATCTTTGAGAACTGGAAAACGGAAACAGTAATTAGAGATATGTTCACATAAATTTTAGATTTGAGATCAACATATATATTAGTGTTTTTAGTATTTTTTATGACAGCGGCACTTAGAGACAGACGTATGGAATACACATGGTCAAAAGTAAAATCTAGTAAAAGTAAAAGCAGAGGAGTGTTACGAATTATTATTATTATTTATGGGGAACTTGGCAGGACGGGTGATCAGACCACGTTATCCGCTGACCATTTCACCCATTTCCTCCTTGCAAAGGTTTTGGGTCATCCAACTCTCCCAGTGTCCCCTTCAAACCTTCCGGTTTGCTTGCAGAATCTTATTATTTAAGAGTCACGAGTTAAGTTATTTCTGCTGCCATCTATTACATTCACCAAAACGACCGGATAGATTGTTTAACACCTATAGGGCATATGCGGGAACGTCAAGTAACACTTATGGATGACACTATGGAGACAGTCTCATTGCCAGCTGTCATACATATATATGTCGGAGTAACGTTATCTTCTAGGCCACCCATTGTCGGAATCAGCAGGGCTCCGGGTGAGAAATAATAATAGTCCCGTATGTTTGATTCGATTATTATCTATCGACACACATTACAAAAGATCAAAGAAATAACACAGTACAGTTTAGAGCAATTACTACTACATGTTTCATATTTATTTATTGATTGAATGAGGACTGTCGACATTTTATCACAATTACAGTAGCTTAAACTTAAAATATGCAAAAAAAAAAACAAAATTGTGTAAAACACTTATAGACAGACACAACATGCAAGGCAACGACAAAGTGAAGACTAAGTTGTACAAGAAAGAAGACATTGGAAAGGTTATTATAATGATATACGATATATAACTAAATTGAACTGAGAGGGTTGAAGACAACAAACTGCCTTGAGAACCTCTTCTCGCTCACATCGGCAATTTGGCAAATTGCAATATTATTAATCACATACCTGAATAATATACAAGGCTATAATTGTGCTAACACCCAACACCGTGTCCCATAGTTGAACCGTCTTTATATTCTTGAAGAAGTTTATAATCGCGCTCAAAAAAGTGTTGCCTGATGCTCCTGCAAGTGCACAAATGAAGGTAAAATATGAAAAATGTAGTCGGAGTTAGGATTAAATAAATAATAAAGACTTGAATCATACAATAACGGCTGTATTAATATGACTGTTATGTTAAGAATAACATAGCCTCGCTATATTTTTGACATAAACCAATGGCCGTGGCATTACTTAAATTAATTTTATCTTAGATGGATCTATATTTAATGACACAATAATTTACCGACAATAAATGTATACCTGATATTCTGAAGAGAGATTTCAACTGCGATGCTGCTATCTGCAAAGCAGCTGCTGTCGTGAAACCGCTGATCACTTGTTTCGATATAAAATCAAGCAGAAAACCTGGGATACGAATTTTAAAAGTTAAATGACATAAGTGACACGGTAGCTCAATTAGAGCAACAGCAGGGCACACTATACGGATACCAGTTCAAATACTTCCTATGTCGTAATTTTTTGATATAAATCGACTTCTACACAACTGCTAAAGTGACACCATAGTTCGCAACGGCTCGATTCGCTATTGGTCACCGGTTCGACCACCGCCATGCATCTGCATATTTTAATATTAGTAAATTTGATTGTCTATTTATTTGTACATTGTATCTAAATAGTGAAAAGTATTCGCGTCATTGCGTTCAGAGTTTCCAAGTTTGACCCGATTGGCAATTTTACTCTAACTACTCTTTATCTTTAAGTCTACCAAAAATATATCGGTTAGTTGTTGTAGATCATAGAAATGTCTATGTAGAAAATAAATAGGATAATATTTCTTTAAGTCATTGAGTTGAATAACTTTAATTGTAAGGCCGTAATCATGTAAGTCAGTTTATTGAAATCTGCAACGATGAATGACATCTACCATCTCATTTTTGTTATACAACATATTTTGGTAAACATTGCGAAATGTTCTACATATCTAAGATATCTTTAAATTGTCATGTGATTTTCAAATCCTTTGTGACCGATACAAGAAATTATCTCAAAAGATGTGGAAAGTTATGTATTTGGGCCATGCAGATCGAAAATAAATTGTTATCTACAGATATTAAATGGAGACGCGTGTTTGTTGTCTATCTATCGATCGGATTAAGAGGTTTTCGATCCTTTACCGTCGTGGGGCATGGGACATATACTCCTCTCTCGAATCCAGGGCCTTTCGTGGTTTACGCAATAATTACTACAGTACAGTAATTTTTCCTTGAAACGCAATTGTTTTTAAACATTTTTTGTGGTAGAAGAGGACAGACAACAAGTTGTCCAGCATGTTTCATAAAAATTATAAATTGGTTAGAAAAATGTTGGACCTTGTGGGAATCGAACCCACGACCTGTTTACTATTAGCCCTACAAGTACTAACCAATAACAACATCACAGGGCATCTATTGTTCTTATTAAACACCATTTTTTATCTTTGTGACTCAACTTTAAGAACAAAGTTCAAGTAAGACTTATCTAAATTATCATTAAAACATTGAGTACATCTTATAATGCTATCTTAGATGTTTGACAAGGATTTCAGGTTTTTTAAACAATGTTAAGTACTAAGATAGTCTTATATTTGCTAAATCTGTCTAGTAGTCAATTCTTACAATGAAACCGGACCTTTAATTTTCTGAGGAATTAGTTGTTATTGTTGAAATGATACTATTAAAAAAATAAATACAATTGAAACTTACTTTAATAAAACACTTCACATACGAACCCATAATTTCAAATGCTTTGCTGCAGCCGTGGTCAAATGGAGACGGTGGGTTTTCGATAGAAATAAATCAAATACAAATTTTGATCGTGATGTTGCTCTAACAAATTGATACAGTTCAATTTTAGATTGAATTTTTTTATTCAATCTAAAATCGATTTTTTTATGTAGTCTTATAAGTCTCTCGCGAATCGAACTGTTACAACTATTTTATATAATTTTTTACTAAACGCAAATCGCGTAAACTACATACAACTTACCTAGTTGAAAAATTCCCAGTAGTAATATAACTATTCCTGTCACAAACGCTGCGAGATAGGCAAAGTCGACGGATAGGGCAACATATTTCGCTATCAATGCGGATAAAATAGCAGTGGGCCCAGCACAGACGTACTTGGAACTTCCGAAAATCGCGTATACCATACCCGGGAAAATGCTGGCGTACAATCCTACCTGGAACGAAAAAAAAAATATGGCGCTATATAATTAAAAAAAATATTATTATGTATATTTATTAATTAAATTTTTAAAAATCTTTACCTGTGGTGGAACACCAGCAACCATAGAGTATGCAATTCCTTGCGGTATTGATGTGCATCCGACAGTCACACCTACAATACAAAATTCTATATTACTTTAAATACATATACCTACAAAGCGCTTAGCCTCATTATTTACAAAACACTTAAAATTTTGCGACTGTATCAAATGTTTCTAAGTGTAAGTAATTGTGAAATACGATTGCTTTTGTTCGTTGCTCAGCGGTTTATCGTATTATTGATGATAGCGTAAAATGTAATACCAGGTTTCAGGTTTCGTCTGGCTCAACTACTTACATAACAGTTAAAATCAATTAAATCAAATAACATAAGGTTAATATGGTCAAAAATATCAGAATGGGATCAAAGCAAGCACGGGTAAAAATTTATTTTACTTAACGATTTTTTTGACTGTTCGATTTACGTAAACTATTGTCATAATACATTTTTATGCAAATTTAATGTAATTTGTAGATTTTGTTACTTAATTTAGCCTGAGCCGCTGATCATTACCAGGATTGTAGCAAGCAATCTAACAACACTTAACATTCAACCAAAAAATTCGTGAAAGTAAAATTACCAGCGATAATGTCCTTTACGAAGTACTCAAAGTTATATTTTGGCAACCAGATCGTTACAGGCAGTCGTCTTTTCCATGACTGCAAACTGCATAACTTCGCGGCTGTGCGGCGAAACTTGCTTTCTTCACGTGGACCTGTGTATGAAAATAAAATTAGGAATCCTTTCTGCAACCTACCATAGAGTACACACCTACCACCTTGCTCTGTCTGCTGCCCTGGTAGACTATAATTATTCTCATCCTTTACACAAAATAACAGATTCTGGAAAAAAGTTTTTTTTTTTGTTATTTAAGGGTCGCCAACAAAACGAGCTTGATGTGATATTTTAAGAGCCAACACTTTAATAGCCACATTTTTTTCACCCAATATTAAGACCAGAATCCCCATTTTAAGATCTACTTAAGTAAAACCTAGGAAAGACAATTCGTACCAAAAGCGCCGCTCATCCTGAAGCACCACTTTAATTCACGTGTTATTTGTGTGACGGTCTGTATCTTAATGATAATGTTACGAGATGTACTCAACGGCTGTTAACCTAGGTCGTATGGCAAGCGTTTCTATACAATACTATGAAAACACGTGACTTAAATCAAACAGTTGATTGATTTTGATGTTTGGAGCCTAAATATCTACTTGAAGTATTTACGTGACTTATGAAATGGCTGTATTATTAGTGTTATTTACACACTGCAAGCTACCTAAATTACAACATATAAGAGAGGTTTCTATACCTTATATATAAAAGTTCATATGTTCCATTTGTTTTTTTTTATGGTTTAAAATAAATATATACTTACCTTAATTTTATTAATAATAATTACCTTAATACCCCGTAAATTAGATTAACCCAATACTAAAAGAAAATAGTATTGTCATAGTCATCTTGTATTATTTAATTCTATTATTTTCTTTAAGTCAAATATCATAGCTTGTATTGTTTAGCTAGCCTTAGTAATTTAGGAAATTGGGATCATTGCTTTTTAATTAAATTGATAAATGATTTGTTTTAGTTAATCAACTATAATTTACAACTAATATTACTATAAAGTATCTCCCTGTATGTAAACAAGATGTGCCTAAAATATTTCTGGCTTATGACAAAAAGCTAACATCCAGTTAGTATTTGAGGCCCCAGGCCCAATACATTAGATGGATTATAATCAATAAAAACAAAAGAAGGACAAAAGCATAACATCTCACATGGTACAGCATATTTTATTATTGTGCATGATGTTAATAAAATTATTTGATTCTTTATGCCTTTAATCTCTAACAAAACAAGAGAGTTAACAGCCTCATAATCTTAATGATAACTTTAATTGTTTTAGCTAATAACAGATAAATATTTTATAAACTAGATAAGTATCCATTATAAACAACCGAGTTTACCTGTCTGGCACTCAACGGTCTATTTTGTCTCTTTCTTATTAGCTGTTATAGTTACAGAGGAAAAGTCTTAATTGAGACAAAAACAGTACAACTGACCTATTAATTCCAAACTATTAGTCATTAAAATTACAGTGAGAGCCACATTGGTCTCACATATGCCCATGTAAGGAGTCAAGTTTGATTCTCAGTTGTGCATAAATATTTATCTATACAAGCATTCACATAAAAAATATTTGAAACATTACTATTTGTCACATGTGCATGTACTTGATAAATTTATGAACATTAAAACTAAAGAGATTGATAAGCCTCTTGCCCTAGTCATCCTTTTTATTACTAAAAATGACAATGGAATATCCCCGAACTAATAAATTGATGGTATGTGCCATCTACCTACATGTATTTAGACAGCGTTGTAGATTATCCAATATACTCTCAAACAAGACTGCAGATCTCATAGAACTATACTTAATTACTTTTAAGTGCAGAATCAATGCTCTTATTTAAGAAATTCAAATTAACTATTCACCATAATAACACAAAGATTTTTACCACATGGAATTTTATAATGATTATAAATTAAATAATTAATTTACAACAATATGAAAATATATTTATTAGCAGTCAGAACAAAACAGTAACGGAAATAGTAGTCTTGCTTAATTTGCCTTTTGAGTATAATTTTAGTCTTACAGAAACAATAGGAAATACAAGCCACTTATATGTTTGTCTTTAGATTTTGTTTTGGGAAATCGACATCGTTGAAAATAACTAGAAAATCTTACCAAGAAGTGGCTGTGTTGGGTCATCGATATCCATTTTCTAAGGCACAAAGTAAAATAAAATCATATAAACTATTTTATAATATAATATCGAGCACAAAGATGTGTAAAACAAGTGATTCACTATCAAACTAAACTATTGTGCATTTATTGATTATACAAAATTATAATTTAATCATTTGATGTATACATTTAAACATAATTACCCAATTATTTTGAATTTTACATTGTGTTGTTGTTATGGTCAATGATTACTTTAACAGTTATTCATTACATTGACGGTTGACATATTATCACTGTCATATATATAGTTGTGCCAATGTCATATGTCATGTCGCCTCTAAATGACACCTGACAGTGGCACAAATATTAACAATGGGAAAGGCACCAAATTAAGAAGAAAAAGAAGTAAGTGTCTTTAGTGGCTAGTTACAAATTTACACAAGATTAAAAAAAAAAACAAATCTACGATCCATAGTCATAAGCTTAATTTGATATCAACCAGTAGTACTATTAATAAATTGTTTTTTAAAGATAAACGAAAATACCGCCTCTGTGACTCATCTGAGATGGAAGAGATTGAATCCCGGGAAACTAAATAGTTCTTTATCTACCTCCTCAAAAAAGAACTTGCCGGTAAAAAAATCAGTTAGTGCAGTAAACACACAAATGGCTGCCTTCGTTCGGCATAGGAAAATGGGACTTCACTTCTTTTTTCACACTACTTAAAGAAGGATATAGGTAAGTACCTACATTTTCCATTGATATACGCCCTCGGCTCCCATGAACGTACATTAATAATTCAGACATATTTAATTAAGAAGAAAGTCAATTATTGTAACATTACTTAATTTAGATTTTTACGTACGTTCAATTATTTTAAATATTCTGAACTCTGTATAAAATGTGATAGGCACATATAAAAAAGATACAATTAAATACTGTCTATAGTTTACGCGAGTAGTACACATTTAAATAAAACACTTTAACGGTTTAAAACGCGATATATTAGTTAAACTTATTTGAAAATGATTTTTAACTTCGGCAATCACGGCTGCTGCAAACTAATATATCGCGTTTTAAACCGTTAAAGTGTTTTATTTAAAAGATACAATTGCATACACTAAAGTATCAGTTTCTATAATACTTAATCTCTAGAGAAAAGTGCCAAAGGTTGAGTCTATGATATAGAATAATTGTAAAACGATTGGCGGTTTGCAAGTAGGTCAAGCGGTATATCGAACTCAGGACTGATAGCTGATAACGATAAGCCAAGAAGCAATAAGACACACGAATCAGTTAAAATTAGTTTCTTGCACCTAAAAAGAAAAGTGACATACAATTTTAGGAATACGCATAAAAAAGATAACGAAGCGAAACATCGTCGGGTTTCGTTTCCGTCGTCTGTCGTTTTTATCGTTATGAACATTCGACGCGTTGTCTTCATTAGGTATCTAAATGTGGTCAAAGGAAAACCCTCCCATGCTCCAAAACGAGAGACATCTATTATATTTTAATCTGTATTAATCCACTGGAGGTAATTTGACTCTATTATTATCTATCGTCGAAAACCTTCAAAGAAAACAAGAAATAAAGTTATGCTTGTCCTACTTAAATTATTATTAAATACTTCGCTTGTATCTACTTACAGCTACGAATTTCCAAAGAAAATCAAATTTTATAAGGAAGAGATGTTTTATTTGCAATGGTTATATTATGTAAATAAGTATGTAGATAAGGAAAAATTAATGACGATAATGCATCTATACTACTACACTAGACGTAGTTACGTCAAAAGAACCTTCGATAACTGTGCCCTATTTCAATGCAAATAACAATACGTCATTGCGCCCATCAAAATAATATCAAACCTAGATAGTTAGGTATCTAAACTGTAATTATATCAATTATTATACGTAATTTTGCAAATTAACTATTATTATTGTTGATCAAAACGGTTAAAACAGTTATTAAGTCAAGAAAAATATTATCTTCTAACCGTGTCTATTCATAGAGCGCCTCTGTGGCTAAATGGATAAACATGTTTCCTAACATTGCGTTGAGCGCGAGAGGTCCTGGGTTTGCATCCCGAGGAAACAATAAATTGTTTCCGTCTGGTAGGGCATAGAAGTCTGATCAACTACTTGCTTGTAAATAAAATCGATCAGTCAAACGGAAATATAAATGTGTGCGCCCCATGCCCCACAAGGGGAAACGGGATTTCATACATAAATTTGACATGTATGAATTTGTGTGTGAAATCCTCTTTTGAGAACTACTTGGTTGGTTGGTAATTAATTTGTTTGATTTTACACTTTAAAGTCAATAGAAAACAAATATTAATCAATAAACCGAAATATGACAAATTAAAGACTGCAATAGTCGGCTTTCTTGCTATCGGACTATCTCTAATAGATAGGTACATATCTCCTTATATCATTACGAATTTTTAGTTCTAACTAGAAAAGCCTCTACAAAATTCCATTGAATAAATACCTATATAATTATTGCAATAGAATCAAAAGTTCCAGTGATTTTCTAGGGCATATTATGACATTCGTGTTATGTGAATGATGTAACGTAAATAAAAACTTGCATCTAACGCGTGGACAAGGACGGCCTGAAAATATTTGTAACATTCTCTCACTCGTAAAGTTAACTATGTTATATTAGAGATTGTTGCATCATACGACATAAACTACCCTAATTTAACCTTTTTATTATCACTGCTACCCATGAACGCGTTGTAAAGATTTTGGGCCCTATAAAAAATACCAATGCGCCCTTCGTGTAGGTATTTTTAAGGTTTGAAATCGACAAATAGATGTGTGGCTTTACAATTGTTTTTGAACTCGGTCTTTGCATCTAAAACCTATAACTTTATCTATATTTTCAACAAAAAAAATCCTACGTCGTTTTTTCTGTTGTTTGTAGTATACTGCGAGTATTTTTTGTGTCAATGTTTGAAATTCTTAGGCCCACGATAGTGCAAGCTCGCAACACGTTGCATCAGCTTTGAAGAAGCCTATAGACAATTATCAATATTTAGCGTAGAAATTATAATATAAATTAGAAGCGCCCCGCGATTTCACTCGCGTCATGTAAGATATATTGAAAGTTTTTGTAATTGATATATCTAATTTTTAATAATTTATTAAGAGTTCAAAATTTTAATTACATTTGGCCGCGGAACTAAATAAACTTTTAAAAACCCCCTATAGAAAAATTTAAATATTTTAGATGCCTACGAGTTTTTACATGATACGTCATACAAAAAGACACTCTGTACCTACATTGTACCAATCAGTTAGTCGGAGACTAAAAAATAATTTTGTAGATTATGAATTTCATCGTGAAATTAAAAATATCACACATACTTATGATAAAATTACAATACATTGTATGGTATCAATCAAAGTGCACTATCATTTATTGTAATTGTGCCTAAAGAATTTGAGAGTAATCGATTGAAATATAGTGAATCGTTTTATTTCTCTTATCATTTTTTTATTTTAATTGGCATTAATTTTGGAAGAATTGCTAATTATGTCATTGTTACATAAAGCTTTATCTTTACGAGGCTTCGTCGTAAACTAGGTATCTAACCAACAAATAAAAAGTTGGTCACAATAACAAAAGAATTGTAAACAACGGTCACATAAATAACAACTCGTTAATATCGATATTTATCAATTCAATACCCTTGAAACCCTATGACCGAATAGATAGAGCTCTCGAGAAAAACATTAAAGTGTAGGAAAAATACATACGGTTAAGTAAGCTTTTAGAAGTAAAACATTGAGGCTTGCTAAGGGATAGATACGTATATTTAAAGAACAACTTTAACCTGTAACTTAATCCCGTGAAAGATAATCGAGTCAACACACCTTGCCCTATATTTAAATGCTGAGCTGAATTTAAAATGGATGAAGCGAATAAAACGTCGGATCATAGTTTACAGTTGTATATAGTTCGCGTTTTAAACCGTTTAAAAGGTTTCATTTACCGTGTACCGCGCAATATACAGACTATAATATATAATATTTAATTTTTGGTCTTATTCATTTTTATACGCTAAATATAGTTTAGTTAACAAACCGTACATCATTTGTAAACCAGTGGTAGTATCAACGTAATCCTTAATATGTCCTAACTGCTTATTTGTTGTAGTAAACAAAGTACAGTGAAAAGTGAGTGCCAGCAATATTGAGTGCATAAAACGCTGGGAGATGACTGTCGCGTGTCATTCATGTTTCAATAGTAGACGAAGCAACTTCCTAATCACTTGGTGATAAGCACCATTCATAGAAGTGTTGTGAAGTGAGTTTTTTAAGTCACTCGGAGATTTATTGATTAGGTATGTGCTTTATATATGTATAGTTTAGGGTTTAGGATATTTTACCGGTAAAAGCAAAAAATACTGCCACGTATATAAATATACTATGCCCATAGACTTCTAAAAAACTAAATATTTTTCACATGGTAAATAATGGCATAAATATATAAAAGCAAGCAGCCGCATGGAACGGCGTACATGCCGGTTCAAGTCCCGCCCGTGTCCTTATATTTCAAAAATCTGATTAGATTTTAATTTACTTTTGCATTATTCCGAAAATTTATCTGAATGACGTTAAAAATAGATTTTTGTAGTTAACACGTAATTTACAATGTTCTGACCTCATAATATTCATCATATGCACGTTTCATACAATTAAATCCTAAATAAGCCATTTGTCTAGAAACTCTGCCAAGAATTTAATGGCGAGTAGCGACAGTTCAATATTAAGTAGTTAATAGACGATTATTGACGTGTGGAATCCCAAGATAAATTAGTATCGGAACGACAGACGTAGGTACCATCGAAATATATATACGCACATACTAGTGTTAGATATCAAAATTGTCAATCGTTCTTAATTAAATAATTTAACAGTTTTAAACGCGAAGTCATTTAAGTTTCACGTATCGAATGCCATGCAGCCACGCACTCCTTTAGGTAGTTAATTATGTACATAATATTATACAACATTATCGATTATATTATATCATTACTTGAAAAATGTATCACGCCATGCGTGAGGATATATCTATCCCCGGCACATACGTCTATCATGAAAACATTGTAGGTAAACCATTACTATATTAGTTTAAAGTGACATGAGGTTTATGGACATACATATTTGAAAATTTATAGTCTGCATATTTGATATGTTATAACTAGATTTCTTATTATTATTTAATTGCGTAAATAAGATATTTTAATGATAACGCCCTATTAAAATTTAAATCTCGTCCTTAATTCGACTTCAAAGTATAGCTCATACGGTTAATTCCGTCCGAACGTTGCGTCAACCTGTGATTTGCCCGTTTAATGTCTGCAACGCTTTGGCAGTATCACAATACCGAGTAGACTGATTATATTATAATGTTATAATAAATATAGATAGTATATTAAATGCATTGCAAGTAAAATTTTAGTATAAACACAATCAAAAAGCAGCATTAGTAAGACTTATTAGTGATTTGTTTAAATTGACAAATAATTTTGAATGTTACTTTATTTGATAAAATTTTGCGATTCAGATTACGACCTGGTTCCCTGAAAATTGGGCTAGGTTAGTTACTGGGTAGTTTATTATTATAGCTAGTTAATTTGACCGGCTCGTTGGTATAATGGTATAATGTATGGTTAATAATCAACGGGTCTAGGGTTCAATCCCCACCGGGTGCAACGTTTTCAATAATTTTATGAAATATGCTGGACTCCGGAAATCTGGGTATAAAAGGGTTGGTGGTATCGAAATTGCGTTTGGGTTACGAACCACCACCACCATAATCGCGTTTTGATTTCAGGCTATGGATTTTCGTATTTAACCTAAGCCAAATAAGAAGTCGAAAGCGCGAAATAAATTTAATTCAGATACGATTGTGGCCGGCGTTTGCAAACAGAGAAAAAGCATTCACAACATTTTGGGACCATCTAGACATTTAATTTATTCGTCTTTAACTCAACTGACATATATTGCGTTAACCGGTATGGTAATCAGATCCACGCCTTATTAGAAATAGTATGGAAAAACTTCTAAGAAAATAGACAAGACGTCATTAGTTTTCCATTTCCTCAATTTACAACGATAGTCTTATAAATTACGCGTATATATACATATTTTATAACTAGTGGCTTTTTTGATGTTTGGAAATCTACAGACAAAAACTGAAAAGCGATTAAAGTGGGTAGTGGTTCTTAACCAAACGGTAGGCTTTGTTTCAGAAACCAAATAATATTGTATAAAACAATTATTCCTCTTTAAATAATCTAAAAAAAAGTCCGCGACAATATAGGTATGTCTATCTTTTATTATTAACTCGCATGTTCTTTTTAAACTTAAAGACTAAATCGTCCAAACTCTAAAATTATTAACGCGGACGACGTTGTTCGTAAAAGATACAATTTATAAAGCTGAAGAGGTGGTTTACCGGAAAAAAAATGATGCCTAAAATAACTATGCCACGCGGACGAAGTCGTGGGCACAGCTACTAAATCGTAATCACTTCTTGCAGTCACGTGCAAGTTACGACTGCAATTATGAACTTTGGGTCGGATCTAAAGTCAATCTCAATTACAAGTTATTACTTGCCCATAACTGTGGGGTGTCAACTTCATTAACCTTTTATTAGCATGGTGAAATCAAAAGGACAATTTTCGAATTATAATGGAGAAACAAAATTAATCGTAAGGTATTTCTAGTTAGGTCAACGCTATACACATTAAATAAAACACTTTAAATGTTTTAAAACACGCGGTAAATTCGTTATTTTATTTTTCAATGGTAATCAGCCGTGGTCACGGTGGGACTGCTATTGTAAACCATTCAAAACATCAGGTCCTCGTAGAAAGAGATTATAAATAACCATAAATTTTGTACCTACACAAATTAGCTCAAATTGATAGATAATAATTTTATAACAATAATTGACTTTGTTGACCGTCTTAGTAGCTTTTAACCTCCTGATACGAAATTTCTATCTAAAATAGATTAGATATGTAATGACTCGTCCATTTTTCTTTGAAGAATGTCACGAGTCTGCGTCGTTGGTGCTGGTGCAGCCGGTCTCTGTGCAGCTCGTCATCTGCTGGTGACTCCAGGGGTGTCCCAGGTCGACATTCTAGAGCAATCGGGACAGCTTGGAGGCACCTGGGTGTACACAGAGAACGTCGGCTACGATGACTTCGGTCTTCCTATTCACACCAGCATGTACAAGAGTTTAAGGTGAGTCTCGTTGTTCTTTTGTTTAGTTTTAATATTCATTTCTGTTTAAATACACACACACATACATAACACACATCTACACATATTTAAGTGCAGTAGAAAATGTGTAGAGAGTACATTTACTTTTAAGTGTTTTCAGGGCCGGAGTTAGAGACCTGGAGGCCCCCTGACCCCAAAAAATATAAATATAAATGTGTGTGAAACCAGAAATGCTTCCGATTTTGCCAAACATAAATATATAATCGAAAATCAAAAATTAAATTTAGCATATTTTTTTTAGTACTTGTAAAACAATATTTCTGTGGAGCCTCCGTTTGTTGCGGCCCAGGGCGGTTATCCCTTTGCCCTCCCCTTAATCAAACTTGGGTGTTCAGGAAACAAAGGTTGAGTAGCTCGTCTCGCCAGTCGATTATCGAACTCGTCGTGTTCATTCGTTTAAGCGAGTGCCTGTTATTGCGTTAAAAAGTTGAGAAGTTGGTTCCGTTGGATGGTCCCAAATAGTGTATTATACTATATAGGGGCAGGTTTCGACTAGCAGTATAGATATATAAATAGTTGTTTTTGTTTATGTTTTATTTATTGTATATCCCTAAGAAATGCTTAGTTCACTTACGACATACCAGCTACCGGGTCACAGGGTATCAGCATCATAAGCCGATGTACACATCAATAGATCATGCATCTTTTATGTACGTCTAACCGGTTCCTACGTGTTTTGTTATCATAGGTTTAGCTATGCAATAATAAATAAAAGCTAGTTATCATTTATGTCCCTAATTAGATTTAATGGTTGGTATATTCGACTGCAGATCACGTGGGTCATGATTCGAATCTCAGGTCGGTGAAATATTTATAACTAGCTGTGTCAGCGACTTCGTTTGCATATAATAGTTAACCTCCTCTTCGTCTATATATCATATAAAAATTTAACCTGACGCTCACGACGTCGGTCGCGTGCCGTCGTTCTTGCAAGTTAATCTTAACAGATGAAGACATGACAGACACTTTGTCAAATAATGTAAAAAGGAATATTTTTTTTATACATATTTTTTTGGTATATTGAACCGTTTTCGCAGCCTACCCATCGGAAACCCATAAATATGTATAATTAGGGCCTGTTTTTTTCCACTTTTCTCACTGTTACAGCCTAAAACCCTATTAGTCACAGCCCACAGACGACGTTTTTATAGCCCATTATATATGTTTATATAGCCTTTCTCGATAAAAGCTCTAACCAACACTAAAAGAAATCTATTCGAACTGATAGTTCCTGAAATCAGCGCGTTCAAACAAACAAACTCTTCAGTTTTATATATTAGTATAGATCTCTTTGGAATTTCCGTAAGGAAATTTCCAATACCAGCCTGAATGGGGTTATGAACTTTTGACACCTCACTTCGGGCTGCGAAGAGTATTTTAAGCTGTTAGTTTTCACTATAAATGTAAAAGCGTTTGGTAATAGATCCTACCGACCCACTTCGAGATAATAGGTGGGCCTAAGTTCTTCAATTGATTATGCCAGCATAATATAAATATACAACATACTAATAATTTTCAGAACAAACCTCCCGAAGGAAATCATGGGATTCCCAGACTTCCCGGTACCAGAGAGTGAAAAGTCCTACCTCCCTGCAAAAGATATGCTCGCATTTCTCCAGTTATACTCGGATAAGAATGGGGTCACTGAACACATTAAAGTAAGTTCGTGTCTCAATCAAACTATAGATAAGATTTGTTTTCGTATTATATGAATAGTCAAAATAATATTAAGGTCTAGTTATTAGTAAACAATAGGAATGTACACACATATAATAATTATAATTTTTTTTATTACTATTTAAAAACACTAACATAAATAAATAACATGCCAGTTAATATTCCAATTTCTAAAAATATTTATATACTACTTAACTAACTCTATATTTCATGGTAACCATAATAACGAATGTTTTCCAATTTTTTTTTGGATGGAAATAACCTAAGTATAGAGTAAAGTAACTTATCTGTATTTTAAGCTAAATAAACGCATAAATATTACAAACTAATTAGCAAAGCTTGCTGTGGAAAGCATGCCAACGCGCTATGGAGCTCTCAATATAGTTCCTTGTGTCTTAGTTTCCCCTTAATCGAACCCTGAAAGTCCTAGACTTAACTCGATGCACTTAATAGTCGAAACGACAACTATATTTAGAAACATAATAATTAATTATTTGCATCGATGTTCTTACAGTTTAGACAACACGTCCAGTTAATAAAGCCCAAACAGGGAGCTGCAGGAGAGGTGTGGGATGTCTCCTACAAAGATTTAAACACGGGCGTGTCTGTAACAAATGAATACGACTACATTTTCGTGTGCAATGGCCATTACAATACTCCGTTCATTCCGAATATACCTGGACTGAAGCAATTTAAAGGTATCCTTATTCTCTTATCTTAAAATTTTTATGTTAAAATAACAATAAAGAATTTATTTAATTGAAACAATTTTAACAGTTTAAAACGTAAATTGTAGTAGTAAAACTTATTTGGAAATTATTATAATACTGCTCCACGTTTTCCACAGTTAAAGGCGTTCCATTTAAATGTGTTCTACTCGTTAAACTACAGACAGTTGCTAATGTAGTATATTTTGTAATTTTGTTGTAGGTGATGTTATGCACAGCCACGATTATAGAGTACCAGAGGTCTTCGATGGCAAGCGGGTACTTGTCGTAGGAGCTGGTCCGTCAGGCATGGACATCGCTTATGAAATCACCTGCGTGACCAAAAAAGTGATCCTCAGTCATCATTTAAAGGAGCAACCGAAAAGCGTATTTCCCGATAACCTTATAATGAAGCCTGATATCACTAAATTGGAGGGCAATAAAGCTATATTTGCTGATGGTACTGAAGAAGATGTGGACGTAGTATTCCTCAGTACTGGTAAGCTATTGCATAACTACAGTTTAAAAAATATATAAATATAGAAAGCTGAAGGGTTTGTTTAATTGTTTGAACGCGCTAATCTTAGGAACTACTGGTTCGAATTGAAAAAAATATTTTTGTAGGTTAGAGCATTTATTGAGAAGCAGAAAGCAGCGCTATAAATATATATACTATAACGCTTTTACTAATATATATATATATATATATAAAAAGGGACGCGACGGACGTCGTGGGTAACATCTTAAGTTTATAAAAATGAAATAACTATTCTTATAAACAAAACAGCAATTTGTAATAAATATATAAATATTTTTTCGGCAGGCTACTTGTACAATTTCCCATTCCTCCACGAGTCGTGTGGCATCGTCGTGGAAGACAACTGCGTGGAGCCTCTATATAAGCACCTCGTGAACATCCAGCACCCCACGATGTGTTTCATCGGCGTGCCTTACTATGTCTGTGCCTTCTCCATGTTTGATTTGCAGGTGAGACCAGTCTGTAGCAATTGGTAAACACTTATCCAATATTTACAGTTACCTACTATTTACATGTATGATATGCGCAAACCGAATTGAAAAAAAAATGATGATGATGTATTTATTGAAAATTAAAATGAAAACACAAAATACTGATATGTAACACAAACAAGGCTTCTATACTTGAATGGAGCAAATTATAGAGGCAAATGTTGTTTCTGCAATTCTTAAGAATTGCTCTTTCTATGGTGTTATTGTGGACCTATGTTGCAATCGGTCTTTTGAATGTATCATATGGTGTATACATAATAGTATCCCAATATCCAAAGCCACCTTCCACTGGGGTCCACCTTCCATCAAATGAACCTCATGCTTATTTATCCTCCTCTATTACAAAAAAATATATACTGTTGTTTATTTCAAATCATTGCTATAGGTACGCTATTACGTGAGATCCATGAGCGGCACCTTCAAGTTACCATCCCCTGCAGAGATGATCCAGCAATGGGAAGAAGAGAAACAGGAGAGGGCTGATCGAGGGTACACGAAGCGACAGGCGCATATGATGGGTCCTGATCAGGTTCGCTATTATGATATTATTACTTTTTCATCTCTTTTATAATAATCTCTTTAAAAACAGTGGAACGTCGATTCAACTACGATGTATGGTAAAAAGTAGGGTTACTCGTTCGATAATAGATTTGAAGGTAATATGTTAATGGTACAGAGTAGAAATGTGTACATAGTTATTTGGTGGTGGAAACTGTGGCGTGTCTTTTAGTAGGGCCAGTCGGTGCCGTGCACCAAGTGCTCGGAGCTTAGAGAGCCTTCTAACCTCATTTTTCAAAGGATAGATAAGCATGAAAAATGTTGGGTCTTTACATGAACTGTTTTTATTCCTATCTAAGTTTCTGGACAATTATATAAGTTCAAACTTCGCGGAAAGATGGGAAGAGAGCCCGATTCTCTATTTCCGGGGACCCTGTTCACCTGGCTATGCTAGGCACTGGGTCGAAATAATCAGCGCGAATAAGGAGATTAGTTAGTAGGTACAGTCCTTTTAGAATATTAAAGATAAGTGCGTTAGTTTTAGTCAAGATAAATCAAGAGATTTCTGAATATCATAAGTAACAAGTTGAACAAGGAGAGCCCTAATAAATTGTGTAAGGCTTTCACGGCTCTCCTTCAGCATATTATTGTCTTTCGGGCTGTTCGGCATTCTTTTGACATTCTGAAAATAATCGTGACATATAATATGAATCCTAGATTTATTAGTTTCACCTTTAATATCAGCTTTTTCCATAGAACGTCGATAGCGTTTCCGGACTTTGAATATTTCCGTGTTTAATAAATAATTTATATCTCTCGCAGTCGGTAGCGCTAAATTACTTATCAATAGCGTGCAGGTTATTGGAAGGCCAATCGAAGTCGTAAATAGCTTTCAATTGGTTCAATTTTATACTCAGGCTGGCATAGGAAAACAAGCCGTTGATAATATACCGCGTTAAGTGATAAAACTTGCTAGGTTTGTTTATTATTATATTATTCAATTATAACGTATTTATGAACGGTAAACATATATTTCATTATACATGATTCTCCTAGTAAAAGTCAACAGATGTGAGATAGGTACTAACTTAATATAGGGTCCCAAGTTAACTAATACATTTCGTGTTTTAAACGTTAAATATGTTTTATTTAAATGTATACTTTGATAATATTTAATTTATGTTTTAAATAACCCTCCAAGTTTAAGATCAAACCTTGTTGTGTAATATACATACGTATAGATTGATAACTTTATTTCAAAAGTGTGGTTTTAGTCTAACCTAAGTAGCTGGCGTACTAAGAACATAATTTTATAATAAAATAGGCTGACTACTACATATCGCTATCGCTCGAGAGCGGCTGCAAGCCCCTGCCGGAAGTATTTACAGCAATACACAACGACAGCAGCCAGAAGTTCCTTGATGATATTGCTAACTATCGCGACGATGTTTATCATGTTTTGGATGACAAGGAATTCTTTTGTTCTTCTCTTAAATGTAACTAGAGTAACTTATGAGGGTGGGTTGCATCAATCCGTCTGTTAAGCATTGTCTAAACAACGTTTTTTACATAATATAACCGTTAATCGATTCTAACACACGGTTTATATTTGCGTCAAACATTCTTCTGTTACAGGTTTACTACTTACATTGAGTATAGTTCATGTACTTCCTCTGCATTAAAAAGAAATGCTTTTAGCTTTATGACAAACTTAAGAAGTCGTAATGATATAATATTAATGCCAAGATTTCTAGCATCTGACCACGACGCCATTTTTAACAGAGATGTATCAGTGAACTTGAAGCAACCCGCCCTGGTTAGGTGCGTAGTAATTGTAAAAGAGCTTTTCATATATTTAGCAAAACGTTTATTGTATCACAGAATAAAAATGGAATAATACATCTAGATTATTTCTCGTTTTCGCAATGTCCTCAGTAACTATTACAAAGATTAAATGTAAAAATAATGTGCACGCATATTATGCCGTAATACAAAAGCGAATCTAATCAACAAACCGTGACTATCAAAAAATTACAAAGCCCTTACCTACAACTATATACCTTTTAAATTTAATGTTCCTTGATATCCACTTTTTACAATTGTTGACAGCTACCAATGCACAAAAATTACCTATGTAATGGTAACTTAAATACGTTATACTTTCATATTTCATAGGTTTAGGTATTTTGTAGATAGCAATAAATATTATTAGCAAATTTCTATACAGTTTCCGCAGCGCATGCGACGAAAGACGTTTTAAACCATTTTTTACACCTTGAGTTAAGATTTTAAAAAGAAGTCCCTTGGAGTAATCATAGCCTATGTTACTTAGGGTAAATATAACTTTCCAATGATGAATTTTTTAATTCGATTTTTTAAATCGGCACATTCGTTTTTGAGTTTCTTCATTACAGACTTTTAGTTTTTACAATTAGTACTACACCGTTAGTTAAAAGTCAACTAGGTCTAAACTTGATCGATGAATAAGCTATTTAGTTTCGTTCGACGTATGCTATTATGTATTTTTTAGACCAACTCTTTGGTAATCAATATTAAGGAAAATTAAAAATCTCAATTCTTCACGATACCTATACTTACAGCGTCGTCTTCTTATAACATGACGTCTGCCATCTAACTTGTATTGATTTTTATTACAGAAAACATCCAAAATTAAATTCGATGACGAATGTGCAGGATATATTAAATAAAATAAAATATACTTTTTCTCTTTAAAGTTTTAAAAATTATTTACATTCGTTAAACAAATTTTGTTTGTCTGTCTGTTCGTCGTGATTTTACAGACTGCTCAAAAGGGCAACAACGGAGAAACTCAGTCCGGCTTCTTTTATCAACGTATTGTATTGAATTTAAATTTTATATAAAAATCATCAAAATGAACTCTACGGGATATGCCTCCGAACTCCGATCATACCTACTTTTTCCTTTGACCTTTGTTTCCGAATGGCGCGGTCGTTAGCTCACGGTTCATCGACCTTCATAAGGAATTAATTAAGTCTACTTGTTTTTCTTCTTTCTTCTCAATACTGATGACTTTTACTCTATTCTAAATTATCTTTTACCACCAGCTAGATATCTTAACTTAACAGTACTTTAAAAAAGCTGAACCTTAAAAGCTATTTAAATAAAACGACAGTCAATGCAAATTTTATTTAAGAAAACCATTACATAAAAACTGCATACAAATAGAAACTTTACATTCACCAGGGTACTAAGGCTCCATGAATAAAAAAGAGCAAACCTCCGAAAAGTCCGTCGCGTAGGCATCCGGTGTGCACGAGCGAGTTTACTTTTACTTTTATAGCACGCACACAACGTCTTGATCGTTTCACTATTCAATCCAATATGGTCTCGCGCGTCCGCATTGTAGAATAAAATTATAGCTAAAGTAGTCTTATTTCTGAACAATTGACTTTATTTAGCCCCATCCGCTGCCGGCTTATCAAGGCCCAACCTTGAATGGGCCTCTCGATTCTATTTGCTAATTTTATACTAATTGTTATGGGAATACAGGACGAACTAATTCATGTAGCTTTGTTTAACTGTAAAAGTTTTAGCTTAAAAGTAGATCGTTTCTTAGGAATTTCTTGTGGGGCATACCTACACAATATGTACTTATTTATTTATTTATTTACAGAAATCCTTACACTACGTACATTTAGCAGTAATTAGCCATTACAAGATTTACAAATAATAATTTAATAGATTAAAGTGACAAGGTTCTATATTATAGGTAATACAAATAATTACGTTAGGATTTTTTTGTATGTTAAGTGTAAGTAATTAGTTCTTATTTTTTAAAGGTTATTACTTTTTTAAAACGGCTAAAATAAAAATATTATGGATAAAATTTTTTATTGTAAATATCGGGCAGTGTAATTATATAATTTTTTAATTGGGACTTAAAAAAATATTAAATATTCATTTTATAAATCTAAAAAATATATTATTATATCTTCTTTTTAATTAATTATAAAAGTTTTATAATTATTATTTTATATAAAAAATTTATATTTTATATTTTTATTAGGTATAGTGAACAGACGACAGAACGAAATTTTTTAGTATATTTTTCGTTTTGAAGACCTCTTAGCCTATTAGACGTCAGACCTTATCCTCTCCGAGCGTTCATTAATTAATTTTCTCTTTTTTATTACAGGAGCGGTATTATGCATCCCTTGCTTCTGAAGCCAAAACGGAAAATCTCCCATCTGTTATAACCAAAATCCGAGAAGAGAGTTCCGCAAGGTTCCTGCACAATCTACAAAGCTATCGACAAGACGTCTATAAGATAATAGACGACGATACATACGAAGTCATAAGTAATGGGAAGCGAGAAGTTCTTTGTTGATCTTGTAGCAGAAATATTTTTCATTCAGTTTGCTCAAACTAGATGTATTATGTAAGTCATTTATACTTAATAGCTAATGAAAAAATGTAGTGAATTTTTCTTAGGTACGGCAAATGGCGAGGTTAGCAAAAATACGTCCCTTTTGTAGTTTTAATTTAGTGTAAGAAAAAGGCTTCCACAGTAAAGACTGATATTTACATAACACAACCAAATTTTTTTTACTTTTTTAAAATACAACTTAAAAAGACAAACACCCAAAAATACCCTTCATAAAACACTTTAGATATATGTTATTGATGGAACAATTCCGAAAAATGAGTTTGTATTTACATTGACTTCATTCTTATTATTATTACCGTCTTTGTTAATATCATAACCAAAAACATGTATATTGCCGAATTTTTAATGTATGTAAGTATTTAAATCTAGCATTGCACGTAAATCTTCATTCTAAAGGTGTAAGAACGTCTTCTGAAACGACGAATAAAACTCGAATATTCAGCCAAAAATATTTTATTTAAGCGTATTTATAATCTTTATATTATTATCCATGCTGATATATTATTAAATCTTTAAATCTAATAATTATTTTATGGCTTCCCATTTGTATTACACACTACGGTTATCGAAAATATAAAATTAGGACAGACTTTATTTCTATTAAAATTAGATATAAAGGCTGTTCTGAATTTTATACAAGATCAATGTTAGTATACACGCATTGGGCCGAGATACTAACTCGCTCAACAAATTTGTACTTAAATTTATTTCTATAAAATAAAAACGTTACTCTCAATATATAAAAATACCGTTTATTCTCAATATCAGTTACAATTTTGTTCCAAATACGTCGACTTCAATTTTGTCATATCCAATATCATAATTTGGTATTTAAACAATAGGATTCTAAATCTACAACTTAACATAACATTAATCTAAATAAAAAAATACGTCATAGAATGGATACATTTTGGTCTATATTCCAAGATGTTGCAATGAAATTTTATTATTCTGAGAACTGTCAAATTCGTCACTGTACTCAAATATTGACAGGTCGCATAACAAAATTGTTTTAGTAACTTCTCGGAATACATGGCCAAAAATAATATGTATTGGAAGATAATATACTTATCAAGGCTGAAAATAGATTTATAAATAAAAAGAATCATCTCACTGGGATTTTCCTTATAGGAAAAATGATCTTATACATTATTCTGTACAATATTTTGTTATAAAAATAGGATAATATAGGAAATGCAAAGAAAATTTGGTTTAAAAATAAGCAAACCATCCTAAAGCCATTAGATCGTTATACATTTTCCTTTCCTTCCATTCCAACATAACAGAAGTTACTTATTAATTTGCATGGCATTATATCTGATGGAGTTTCATAAGACTGTGGTTTTCAATAGGTATTTCAATACTGAAACGCACCCTATAATTACTGTATGATCTCAAACTACTGTATTCATATTAGGTATGAGATATATCGGCTGAATATTTTCATTTTCTATACAAACAGTTTGGCCACATCGTACAAAAACTTACCTACATCCCTAATTCTCAGCCTAGCTATCCCTGTCTTTTCAGTCCCTTTACACATACAGAAGAATAAAAAGCTGGGGTAATACCCTGTAGAAATAAACTCTATAAAAATTGTATGCTAGGTTAATGGCAACAAGACATGCAGGATTGTAAAAATATACCGCTAGGGTGGAAACAAACTTACAATCTAGCAGTGAATACACATTTTATTTACAATGTTATCTTTAAACGAATAAATGAAGTAATCAAGCGTCTAGCACCATTTTCAATAGGTATACATCGAGTAACATAATATTATCAACCAAATCATATAAAATCAGAGTAAAAACAAATAACAAGGGGATTTCATCGAATTCCAATTATAATATCAATTGTCGGCTACTACGATCACTGGACAATTTTGAAAGAAATAAGGACTAGTTGAGATATATTGCGTTAGAAAATATATGAAGTACTACAATTAATATAGAAAATCTAATAGAATATACAAGAAATATACATCTAACTATACACTGAGATTACAGTGTTACATGTAGAAAAATAAGTCACATATCACTGCGTCCGCTTTCAACACTCGGCCCTCAGTAAACACAACATTCCAATAAAACGTAACAAGGGTAACTAACATGTCTACGTCAAACGTTAAAGGGCGGTACTTGTGACAAATGGCCACGTTCTTTGAGCCTCGTAACTACGTTGTACTCTCAACACCTGTATGTGATTCTGAAGGGTTTCGAATCTACTGATAAAAACACTAACATCGAGATTATTAAAATCACTATTATCAATATTGATAACCTGTTTAAGAAAAACTATATAGGTAATTAATTAATCTTAATTAAATAAACACGATCAAGATCGTTCGATTGCACTCTATCAAAAAATCGTAGAAACACAAGCTGTCTTTTATATATAAAACACTAGGAGCGCATACGGCGGCAAGAGATTAGTTGGCGAACGGTATATCCGGCTCCATGCGAAGCGTTTGCTGCGTGGGATCGTAATGTCCGGCGAGATAGTAGACGTCATTGTTGTCGTACACCGTGCTGTACTTGGCTGGGTCGTCGCCCATGCGCTCCTTGTATTGTGCTAATGGCAGAACCTCGCATTTGTGAGATATGGTTTGAACGTCGTTCTCGTCCGTATGCGGAGATTCAAAAAGACCGCCCTGTTGACAGATGTTTAATTTAGTTTAAAATTATAAGAACATAAATACATACAAAATGTCTGTAGTTTACGCGAGTAGTACACATTTGAATAAATCATTTTAACGGATTAAAACGGGATATATATTAGTTAAACTTATTTGAACTACGGCCCGGTGAGTTCCACGAGTGATGGCTTCAAATAAGTTTAACTAATATATATCGCGTTTTAAATCATTAAAGTGTTTTTTTTATTTATAAAATACAAAATTCATTAATAAATAAACGAACAAACCAGTAATTTAAGGATTTATGCAATGTTTATAGTATAAATAAATTTTTATACGTACAAAAAATTACGTAACCGAGCTGACACGAATTTGAAACACAAGTTACATCATAGCACGACCGATTGTACTAGGACAGTATGAACTCGAACAACTAACCGGCAAGAGGAGCGGTCTACAGGCAGCTGTTTCCTCGGGGTGATAGAACCAATGCACTCGCACGGCCATGGCACCGCGGGCCTGCCACAGTGCTACTATGCGACCGATGTATGGCCTATCTGCTCGGCCTGTGGAGAGGAATACCGCTGCTTCGCCAACCTGCAAATTCAGGTAATATTTATTTGTGGATAAAATCTTAGTAAACTCACAATCTCTATAGGTCATTTCACATAAAGTGGACAAATAAATATTGAGTTTGTGCATTTTGTTTATATTGAGGTCTAAGTTAAGCTTTGTCATCTGTCAATTAGAATAAAGTTCAAAAGCAAACTACAAAATTAAAAATCTATATTTGAGTATACTTTCATTAATACTTAGAAAATATTGATATTATAAAAGGTCAAATTTGGTTATTTCGGCGCCCGCTTTACATGATACCTATGCCATTTATACGAGTATTATTATGCTTTTAAGATAACTGTGTGTTACACCCACATTAATGAACTTATTATAATTCATACATATGTAGTCATAAAGTCATACTGTGGTGATACTCGAAGTATTTTTTTTTAATAAGGCCTCGTACACAAACAGACTGTCTGCATTGTGAGTACATAGTTTCTAGCAGTGCAAAAAAGCCTTACTTAATTAATTAAGTATTGAGATTGTTTTTTTAACTGACAGGCAGGTAGTAAGTCAAAGTACCAGGAATATAGAACATCAAAGAAGACTTACGTGCAATGTCTCTTCACCGCGTTGTATCGACTTGTAAAAGACCTTTCGGTGCCTCGGCCGGGCCGTGCGCCTATAGGCCGGCCCGAGCCACCTCCACAACGCCCCACCTGGTAGGAAAGCGGCCATCTTGCTTACACCGGTGCCGCCGTCTGATGATGAGGAGACGGTACGTCGCTTAACCTTCTGAAAGTGAACAGGTCGTTTTTGAAAAAATAACGTTAAATGTAAAGATTCTTGAGTGTTTTTGTCAAAGAATATAAACGTTTAAATATAAAATGTTAAGTTAATATAGCAAACAGGGATGCCTTTGTTTATTAGGAACACCGAGGCACAGTTATGTGAAATATACTAGGGTTTTTTTTTTAATAAATAAACACAAAATTAATATTTTAACAACTTAATACTCCTAGGGTTATAAGAACTTACCTTCTTAACCAATTCACTGGTAGAAGTAGAAGGTTCATCATCCAACAACCCGATACCACTATCTTTCATATTGTCTTTTGTTTCTTCCTCTTTCTTCAAAGCGATCTTTCCAATGTTACTGAAATCTAAGACGGGAGTCTTTACTAAACTTTTCTGCAGGACAGCTTTCTTTATAACTGTTTTCATCTTTTCCTCGGGCGACTTTTCACATGCGATCAACGTCGATAGTTTTTCATTGGAATCCACGGAATCTTCATTCGATTTGTTGGAATCTATGTAATCGGACGTCGATTTCTGTCTATGGTCATCACCCGAGGAGCTAGAATGCTCTTTACAACTAGAGTGGTGTCTTTTCTTATGCTTTCTGTGGTGTTTCTTATGATGGCGCCTGTGTTTGCAATGTTCTTCGCAGCATTTGTGTTTCTTTTTCTTCTTTTTGATGTATTCAACCGATGCTGGGTCGTCTTCGCTCAAACGTTTTACTTTATCTTTTCTGTGTTTCTTTAACTTCTTTCTATCTCTGTGTTTGTCATCCTCCGTATTATCTTCTTCTTTTTGTATCGCTGTAGGAGTAACTTCCGTTTTTAATTCTGCATTAGTGGAGAGTATAGCCTTCTTCTCTTCTGTTATACTTGTGTTTCTTCGTCGTTTACCCAATGTGAAAAGAGTGTTTTCGTATTCTAAAAAAATTAATAAATATATAGTAACATTAAGGTTAAGAAATATTTATATACGGTACGGTAGATACGGTGTAATATAAATTGTGTTCTACAATAAAATATTTAAAACGTGACTTACCAACAATAGGATAATTCGGTTCCAAAAATCGTATATCTTCGATCGCTATTCGTCCTGAATCCCCATCATCAAACTCAACAGCCACGAACTTATCATCATGAGGGTCTGGCGAAGAAACTGCTACAGTACCAGGGTACAAGCATCTGTACTGCTGAGACCAATAAGCACATACTCTAGTGCCAGATGCCAACTCCGATACTGACTTGGGACTCACTTCTAAAATCTGAAACAAGCGGGAGGCGGATATAAAGTTTAAATATTTATAGTTAGCCTTAGTATAAAGTATTATTTATCCTTATGTTATATATTCATTAATTAAAAAGGTTAAGATTTAAGTATTTTTGGCAAGATATTGTATTATTGCAATATTTGAACAATAAACTAATTAAAATATTAAATTTAAAATTATTTATTATAAAATACAAGGTACTGAGATACTTACAGCGTCTTTTAAGGTTTCCTCCCGTGATAATATGTGAGGTTTATTCCCTCTCTCTCCATCTAAAGTAATAGCGTATACATCAGGTGCTTGAACAGCACTTAATTTCCCAGCGTAAAACAATCCACCTCTAGCTGTAAGAACCCTTGGCGAAGTATCTATTTTATCTTCTGTCAAAGTGCAGCGAGAAATTATAGGTTTTGGAGTATCTGGTTCTGGATTTTTTTCTTTAGCAACATCTTCAGTTCTCTCTTTAGATTTGTGACTCTTGCGTCTCTTCTTAGCCCGGCGCCTCTCTTTATCACTATCACTCGACGCACTTGCTCTTCGGATAGTCAGCTCGATTTCTGAAAAGTCATCTCGTGAATGTTTGCGCGCTAAGCTATCTACTTTTTCGCGATTTTTCTGTCGGACTTCGTTTAAACTCTCCATCGACGAACTCGCTGATCTGTTGAGACCCCATTCAGCGTCATCTTCCTCAGAGTACACTTTAAGTATTGGCTCTGCTTTCAATTTTGGTCGTACCTTACTAGTCCGGCTCACTTCTTCTCTAGAGGGCTCTCCTCTTGAACAGAGTATTCCACCCTTCAATTTACCTTTAGCGAGTAAGTATCCTACAAGACTACTTTTAGATTTAGGTTTTTTAGCAACTATTGTTTCGGTGGAATCGGGGCTTGACACTTTACGCGGTCTTCCAACTTTTCGCTTTTTAGATGAGCCCCTATCTGAATCCGGAGACAAGGCTGGAGTGGACGGTGTTGACGTAGTTGATAACACAGGCAGAGGGGGAGTTAAGGCATTCAGCTGTGCTCTCTTTTCATCACACTGTCTTTGCAAGTCTTGTAAACGTTTACGCATGTCCTTTTCAATGGCGTTGACCAGATCGTGAGCTGACGGAACGTGGGACGAATGTGAACAGTCTGCAATACCACAAGTACACGCCGTGACGCGTCTTAAACTCGCTTCTATTTCACCTGCACTCTCTTCACCATCATTACTTTTTCGTTCCCGTTTGTGACGACGCATCTTCTCCAATTTGTGTCTCAGCCTTTCCTCTCGGTCGCGGCTACGTTTAGGTCTTCTTTCACTAGAAGAATCATCTCTATGTCTATGTTTTTCTTTCTTAATTTCTGCAGGTCTATCTCTATCGGTGGGACTTAATAAAGGTTCTGTTTTTATAAAGGGCCTAGATGTCGAAGGTCGATTAGTAACGGCATCGACACCCTCTTCCATTAATCTTTGTTCCGCCAATATGACTTCACATAACAAACCCAATCTGTCTAAAGACGGTTTCTGTTGCGTATTGCTAGTGTCTGCGGATGGGAATTCAAACCTTCTTTGAGTATCTATATCAGAGGTGTGTGGCGGAGATTTAGGCGAAGTTTTAATCAAAATGCTTAATTTTGAAGACGTTCTAGTATCTATTGTGAGTGGAGTGGGGTCTAAAGTGGGCATGTTGCCTGGCGTAGTACGTTCATATTGTTCTATACTGTTAGATAAAAGTTCTAAACCGCTTACGTCATCGGGTGGTCTTATGGGCATAGTTGGCGGGCTCGGTTGGCCAGTATCAATAACCAAGTCCTGCGAACCACTACTAGAATTGTCAATGGTGTCATCATTTTCTATTGCATCTATCGCTTTTTCCACTGCACCGACCACTGATGACGTTAAACCTTCCGACGATGATTCTTCCGCACTATCAAGAGAAGCTGGCAACATTTGTAGTTGCATGACATTGGATTCTTCAGGTACGTGAGCGACGCCAATACAAGCGACTTCCCTTTCGTCGTCGTCTATCTGATTGTGGTGTTCATCTTCATCATCAATGTGGTCTGTCTGGTTTGAAGCGTCTTTGTGTGCGGGAGCCTCTGGTGCTTCGGGTGGTGGGGTGGGAGGTGCAGCTGGTGACGTAGCCTGGCTTCTACATGGTTGTTCTTGATACTCGGGTTGATAATAAAGGTGCGTTGTCAACATCGGCTGCTGGACAGGCTCTGGTGCGAAAGTTGGTTGGGGCTTCTCTTGCGGTGGTTCCGGTTCAATTTTTATTAACGTGTGGGGAGTTATGAGGGGTTGTATAATGGGTTTCCGTTTTTCAACGTGCGCTGGGTGCGGTTGTGGTGCAGGAGCAGGAGCCAGCGTGACCAGTCGAGTCGAATGTGTATGCGTATGTTGTAAGGTAGCCGTAGATGCGAGGAGATCTCCTGGTAGCAGTTGGAGATGATGAGAAGGGTGAGGAGCGGGAGGTAGGAGAAGAGGAGCTGAAGGATAAGGCATTCCACCCCACACCACAGTGTGAGGAAGGTCTGGGGGTGCAGGAAGTAGGAGAAGGGCTCCAGATGTCGGTTCGCGGACGAGTTGAAAACCGCCCATGGAAGACATGCCGCCGCCGACTGCGCCCATGCCGACACCACCGACACCTCCAACCATCATGCTGTCCATCGACATTTGGGCTGAAATGAGGAAATGCGCAAATTAGTATTGTCATTCTTACATTAGGTTTGAATAGTGTTATGTGTAAAGTTGGGCTCTATAATTCTTCGCCTACTGGCTCTACCAAAAAAAATGTTTGTTAAATTCTACGCTAGACGCGTCTTACGAGTTTCGTATTATTTGCAATTGTAAATTTAAAGTAGTGTGATGCTTTCGCGGCTGTTTTGCAATACTATTTTTAAAGCTAATTTCGGTCACTAGTCTTTACTTAGACGAGTAAAATTATTTAACTAAGCACTATGGCCGAAAAGCTCGATCAATCTTTTATGAGTAGTATATTTAATTAGAGTAAGTAAAGATTATGTTTCGGATAATTAAAAAACAAATGAGCCGCGACTCATAGTGAGACTTGAATCACATACTGGTCTGTACAATCATGGGGATAACTCGATGGAGGTTATATACATATTACATAATCGAAATGGTTTACGATATGGCCGATAAAAGGTTTTTTAATCCGTTCGTGAGCCGGACGGAATTTTGTTACTAGGTACTGCCAATTTAACTAGACATCGAATAAAATCATTTGCAGAAACTTTTGGACCTTCCTAGAGTTAATCCGACTCGTTGATTCGTACTCACGCTAAAACCAACGACCTCGTTAGCGTAGTGCAAAACTATTGTCGTTTATAAAAATAGTGTATTTTCTCTGTGAAAGGCCGCTCGCATAGGAAATACGATAGATCGGGTCTAACTCCCACATTAACATTCCGACGCGCCCCTCTGCGGAAATGCAGCGGCGGAATACTAATTCAACCTACGCGATTGCACCTGGGCAGGCACGGACTTGGCACAATGAGGCCACGCTCTTGCTACCTTATACCGTGGCAAACGTTAGGTATCTACTACTACTGTTTACAATATATTTAATAATTCCTAATATTCGTCGAAAATCGTAATCAATATTTAAATCATTGTTAGTATTGTCTGTCGTTTACGCGAGTAGTACATTTAAATAACTGTAGATAACCCTTTGTACGCCAAAGCCACTCGCCCTTTATTTATTTCATATACCTACAGCCATAAAACGCAGTTGACCGCCATTGTAGCCAATTGAGCTTACACACCCACCACGTTTACGTGATGCCTGGCATTGTGTTAAGCCCGAGAAGTCCTGGCTTCGAATCCCGGGGAAACAATAGATTGTTTCGGTCGAGCATTGAATAGAGTTTGATTAACTACTAGGCTGTACAGTGGCACAGAAATGAGTTCGCCCCAAGCCCCACGAAGGACACGGGGTTTTACGTTATAAAACACATTAGGTGTAGAAAATACTTATTTCGCAGACACCTCAACAGATAACATCACCTTTAACCGCGTTTAACATTCAGTTATGTGCAGCGAGTCGCGTGAATCAATTAACATTTACACGAATTATTCATCCAGCTTGTAATAATAGACAATTTACTAGAAACCGATTAAGTCAAGTATTTCCTGTTTTAGTATCTGTGCGAGCGGTGTCTTTGATTTAAGGCCGTTTTCTTTGAACGGTTGGTAATAGACTCGTTAGTGATTATCTAGTCGCATAAACAAAATTGCTTACAGCTTATTAGCGTTGAAAAATACATGAGAAAATGGAAGACATTTTTACAACATTTCATACCTACTTAGGTGCTAAATAACAACATGTGTTGCTGATCCGGCAAATATTAGTTTTGTCGTTTGCAAGATTATGTAATAATAATATTATGTTCACAGCTCTAACAAATAATTGACTAATATACGAGTTATTTTCGAATTTAATTACCATAAAAACTGTTCTTGTGAGTTAATCTTACGATACGATAAGACAGCCTATGTTTTTAGATCATTCGAAGAGGAATTAATTATTTCCTATATATTTTTAAGTTTTTGAACCATTAAAATTTTTAATTTTCCTACTTATTTCATATTTTCCACTGTTGCGTCGTTCGTAATGGTCGCCGCGTAATTTTATTTAGCCAAAAGCGTTCCTTGATAAATGGTCTATTGGAAACGATAGTTCCCGAGATTGTGCGTTTAAACAGAAAAACAAGATAATTAATTTTAATAGATCATTTTTGTACCCACAATTTTTTAACAAACATCAATGAAAAATATTAGCAAATTTGTTTCGTTAAATGTTTGGATTCGGTGAGACGAAAAATCTTGCAGAACAATTTTATATTGTTAAAAAAGGAAAATATACATAAGTGCGTAAGAAATGAAGACTTTGCACAGAAAGAATGACGAGAATGTATGAAAAATTCACAAAGGATGGAAAGAGACAAAACATCGATGGGCGAAACAAATGCTTCCGATATGCGGTAATCAATTCAAAGGCCATTGTTTAAATCTAATAAATTATTTATTAAACCTTCGTGGCGATTAAAGTTGAACGTGAGTACATGTTTGTGGGAAATGCACTCAAAACGCTAAGTCGAATTCAAATTAGTTCCCGATTAGGCACCTACATGTCAAGCTCAAGGAAGAAATTGTTTTTTGTTTTGTAGGTAAAAATTCCTTCTCAAAATTAGGAAATGATTGCTAAATACTGTCTATAGTTTACGCGAGTAGTACACATTTAAATAAAACACTTTAACGGTTTAAAACGCGATATATTAGTTAAACTTATTTCTCTCCCCGTGACCACGGCTGCTGCAAAGCATCCGAAACGTCGGGCCGAAGTTACAAATCATTTCCAAATAAGTTTAACTAATATATCGCGTTTTAAACCGTTAAAGTGTTTTATTTAAATGATTGCTAGACAAAACTGTTAACCTACCTATTAGTAAAAAGAGGAGAAAGATACGAAATTATATCGTTGTGTAGTTACCATTGTACATTAAACTTTAGGTATGTTCATCACTTGATTGTAGTTTTATGGCACTATGTTAGGTATGACGTAGGCATACTTCTTGTAAGTTTTTTTGTGTTGAGAGTTCTCTATGCCTAAGCGATTTTCATTTATCAGAGAAAGACCCCCCCAACCTTTTTTAAAAAAAAAAAAAAAAAAAACCCCCAAAAAAAAAAAAAAAAAAAAAAAAAAAAAATTTTATTATTTTTTTTAAAAAAAAAAAAAAAAAAAAAAAAAAAAAAATTTTAAAAATTTTAAAAAAAAAATAAAAAAAAAAAAAACCCCAAAAAAAAAAAAAAAAAAAAAAAAAAAAAAAAAATTTTTTTTGGGGGTTGAGAAAAGAAAAGGGATTTGGGGAAAAGAAACCTTTGTGGAAATTTATATATGTCTTTTGAGACCCCCCCCCCCCAAAACCAAAAAAAAAAAAGGGGGGGGGGGGGGGGGGGGGGGGGGAGGAAAAAAAAACCCCCCCACCCCCCCCCCAAAAAAAAAAAAAAAAAAAAAAAAAAAAAAAGAAGGGGAGGGGGGGAAGGGGAAAAGAGAGGAAAAAAAAAAAAAAAAAAAAAAAAAAAAGGGGGGGGGGGGGGGGGGGGGGGGGGGGGGAAAAAAAAAAAAAAAAAAAAAAAAAAAAAAAAAAAAAAAAGGGGGGGGGGGGGGGGGGGGGGAAAAAGGGGGGGGGGAAAGGGGGGGGGGAAAGGGGGGGGGGGGGGGGGGAGGGAAAAAAAAAAACACCCCCAAAAAAAAAAAAGGGGGGGGCGGGGGGGGGGAAAAAAAAAAAAAAGGGGGGGGGGGAGGGAAAAAGAAAAAAAGAAAAAAGGGGGGGGGAAAAAAAGGAAAAAAAAAAAGGAAAAAGGGGAGGGGGGGGGGGGGGGGGGGGCGGGGGGGGGGGGGGGGAAAGGAAAAAGAGGGGGGGGGGGGGGGGGGGCAAAAAAGGAAGCCAAGGGGGGGGGGGGGGGGGGGAAGAGGGGGGGGGGGCCGGGGCGGGGCCCCGCCCCCCCCCCACCCACAAAAAAAGGGGAGGAAGGGGGGGGGGGGGGGGGGGGGGGGGGGGGGGGGGGGGGGAAAGAACAAAAACAAGCCAGGGCCGGCGCGGGCGGGCGGGGGGGTAGGAAGGGAAGAGAAGGAGGGGTTTTTGGGGGGGGCAGCAAGGGGGGGGGGGGGGGGGGGGAAGGGCCCAAAAAGGGGGGGGGCCGGCCGGACAAGGGGGGGCAGCGTGTTTTAAAGCGACTAATCACTATGTGTACCTAAGTACATTTACGTAAAAAATATTTTCTTAAAACGTAACCTGTTAATACCTAAATCTAATGTAGGTAGTCAAAGCATGATAGGAATGCCATTCCTTTTTTGGTATTGCATTTTACTCAGACAAGAGAAGAGTTTTCTGTTTTAGATACGATCTATATTTGATATTTATGGCTAAGTAACCTTGAATCTGTCTAAAATCGATAGATATGTATGTATTTTATGTTATGAACGTTTATTTTACGAGTTTCTTGACAACAGATCATCGAATAAGTTGATCATGCATAATACCATAAATGCAATGGTTAAAGCATGCTTATCTATCTGTTCTGAATCAGACACTTTAAATGTTATATTTTAACAATGATTTAACATTTGTTTATAGGGAGTTTAGTAACAATTTCAAAGATATGGCTTTCGCCAGTTCTGGTAAACAGGAAAAGCTGTTTTATGTTGGTGGAATTTGATTATCAGGCCTGTTTAACCACACTACTTATACCCTATTTCATAGCGAAGCATAAAATTAAACCCAGTCAGTCAGCTTTCTTTTATGAACAATTAATCAGACGCCCATCAAAGATTCCACGGGTGGAAAAACAAACGCTATCGAATAGAACAGTTTTTTCCTCTGTCACGCTAAGCAACTGTGTTAATACTTATGATCGCGTGAGGTGTCAAATTTCAAACCGTAAGCACTAACGATAATCGCCATTATGAAAAAAACTAATACAACACTAAAATTGGTTAGGGCGGCGGCCGATTAGCGCCTGCCTTATTTCCCCGCCTAACTCCGATTCGTCGGAAAGCAAGATGGGGGCGGGGCCAAGTAGGCGGCAGAAATTGTTAGGGCTGGCTGCAGTCAAGAGAGGTTATCGATAAATGAGTTTTTACGATGCCTTTTTGTTTTTTTGGATGATGGATAATTTATGTGTTGGAAGTGACATGAGTTCCGTTTAGTGTGGGAAGCGAATTCGCCGTTATCGAGGGAGCGACGAGTTTCAACATTACTGTAGATTCGGACCATAGTGTTTTAGTTTTCACAATTATGTATGTAAATTATAAGTATATTGTTAGTCTAATTACGACCGCCATTAAAATATACCCACACATTTGAATGGTTTTAAGTTATTTCCGTTTCCTTTTTTAAAATATAGTTTAGTCAGTTTATTTCTATAGACCCCTAATTAATTAGTATGCAATTACGAACGTTTAGATTTAACTTAATTAGTAGTGTTAGCGATAAATGTTAAGTTAATCTGGTTAATCTACTAACCTTAATAAAAAAATAAAAGTAATTTGCAGTACTCAGTGCTAAAGTTTTATTGTAATGCAGAGCTAAAATTCAATACGGCCATTAAAGCATAATTGCTCTTAGTGTAAAATAAAAAAGGTTATAATGAAGCGGTCGCCTTCCACATGAATAAAACCGCGGGCGCGCGCTAGTTGCTTACGAAACAAAACGAGAATTTAACAATAAAACGCTCACAAATCGCGATGAATGAAAGCGGTGGCAGAAATAAACGAGATTCAGTGTTGGACCAAAAAATGTAGATGCTTATTTATTATTTGCATAGATCACTGCTCTCAACTTGTCAATGACGTCATTAACGAATTTTTAATTAATAAAGAGTTCTAATTTTAAAAATGTCATTATAGCAATACATGATTTGGATCATTTTTAATTTAGTGTTTTAATAAGGTTGACCTTTTTCTTTTTTTAATTTTCCTCTCCTATACAATAAAGAAAAAGTCGGATCTGTCAATCAAACAAAATATTGCGCGACGTAAGAACGTCAAAACGATCTCAGTTGCAATGCCACTACCAAAGTGGTAGAACGCAGCAGGAGGTGTACTCAGAACAGCGAGCGACCGGTATCGCTAAAACGGCGCTCTCACAATGTAGTTGGCGCGTAGATACCAGGCGAGTAGGAAAATGTAGGAGGTGTTCACCTGGATATTGCCATAGCGGTGCGGCCGGTGCGGGAGCGGGGGTAGGCCACGCCAACGGGGCGGAGCGATCGTCGCATAACACATTGGTCACGCCCACCGTCATGGCCGCCTGTGCTGTATCTGCAATGAAAACAATGCAATGTTTTACTTTGATCATTACGTAATAAGGAAAGTAAATATTCATAGCATACATTTTTAAAAGGTTTCGTGAATAAATATTAAGGAGACTCGAATACCGTTTTTAAAATATGGACTGCACGTTTCGCGTTTAATTTTAATTACGATCGCCATTACTATTTCATTTTTATTATTAACAAGCCATATAATTGTATTCAAATAAGCAGCTATAACAAGCGATACGTAAAATAGTAGTGAGTAGTCTTATTTAAAAACAGCTAATAGTATAACAGTTTGCTTGTCCAAGAATTACGAAAACGCATAATTAAAGTTCAAGTATTATTAACTATACTAATATTTTATAATATTCTAACCCCTTTCAAATGAAATTCGTAATTACCGATTTTCCTATAAGCATTTTATAAGGCTCCATCTTATATAAGACTTATTATAATTAGAACAGTATTTAAAACATACCTGCAGTCGTAATCGGCATATTAGGTACCGATAACGAATTAATATAATATGCAATTAAGTGAGTTAAGTGAAATCCCGTTTACCCCTCGCAGGGCATGGGGCGAACACATTTTTGTGTCCGTTTCAGTGATCAGTTCTTTAACAGGCAAGTAATTGATCAGACTTCCGCGCTCTGCCCGTCCTAAACAATTTTTTTTTCGCTGGGAACGCAATACTAGGCAATACGTTTAACCATTTTGCTACAGAGGCGATTTTAAACGCAATACTATAAAACAATTAGCCACCGAACATGACTTTAACAATACCATCTTGCTATACAAATAGAAAGACATTTTCAAACCGCGCTGTTTAATTGTTTCGAGTTTTTTACCTACGTAAAGTAGTAATTGTATTCCCCTTTCAAACATTTAATTGTTTTATAGCGGCGACAAAAATAAATGATTTGTGATCGTTCTACTGTCTAGTTATTGCAGCTCTTTACATACGCCACGTGGTAATAGAGAGCGAAGACTTAGAAATAGGGTCTCGTTTTGACCCAGAAAAATCTATTTACTTTAATTTGATTGATATTATTATTTACTAGAACAACAATTCATTCAAAGTTCATCAAAAACTACGTGTTTTTGTTATGAATTCGAAACAAGATTGATCTCTATCTAACTTCCATGACTTAAGGATACCAGCGAGGTTAAAGCCACCACAAGCTATGTTAAATGTTTTCAATGTCAAGGAAGTAATAATTATAGTAAGAAATATTGAAAAATACTACGTTTAAAAATGTTGGTATATCTATTTGTCATATTCGCGTTTGGCAAGAGAAGAAGAATCAAGCTTGAGGTTTACTTGATGGAAGATAGATATTATATCACCCACTTAATATAGCTTTATTGATACAGGAGGACAGACATGGCAGGGGTTTATGGCTGTCAACCTTCTTTGGCTTTGGATGTTCGCAAATCCACAGACAAACCGAAACGCGATTAAGCTTCACGGCTTTTTCATCTGTGGACGGTGGTTCGTGACCCGGACGGAATTTCTATATTCCTACCACCCATTCAATATCCAGATTTCCAGACGAAATCCAGCATGTTTTAAGAAGAATTAAAAAACATGTTAGACCTGGTGGGGATCGAACCAGCGACCGGTTGATCATTGGTCATACATTGCTACCAACGAGCCCATCGTATCTTGTTCAGATGCACTAGTTATAATTTTCCTAGGGCATTCGTGTCAATAAGTAGTCTAGTTCGTAAACGTGCGTTTGTCGATTGTAGTTTAATTTTTTTAACTTGTACTGGAAATGTAGCAAATAATTATTAATTTGGACCTAGCTACCTTAGTAGCTAGGTAGTAACATCTACTGTAATAAAAGAAGTGTAGGCTTAATCGAATAGCAGTTTTCAAAGCAGCGTACCTTTAAACAAAAAATTTCCCCGCTTTTTTTGTCTTTATTTCCCACACGATGCAATGATTAATAAACAATCAAACACTTGCGTCTTCCAACAGACGCAAGCCGTAACGTGTAACGTAACGGAGGTATTCCTTAAAATATTTTCACGTTACTAATAGTGTTGCTACCTAAAGCGTTCGTTATGTTTCTACGATTAATTAAACAAACTCTTTGCTTTTTACCTAATATCAGTGTAAGTATTAAAATTTTCCAGCTAGTCTATGATAGGTATTAATTACATTTAATTTTAATTAAGTAGATATAGAATTAGACTTGTTTAAGTCGGCCATTTTGCAAAGTTTGATAGAGAACAAATATTTAATTACTTCATAGTAGTCTTATTAAATACTCACAATTTTTTGTTGCGTGTTCGTATAGGTTCTTAGTCAGATTAATATTTTGAGATATAGTTAACATTGGACTTCTTAACTATCATATAGAACAGAGGCAACACTGCGGGGTTTCTATTACAATAAATCAACAACTTCATATTGTTTTAATTCTTATAAGTTAATTGAGGTCAGAAGTATTTAATTACGCGATATATTCTCTTCATTTCGCAAATTATGACGGAAAAACTAATGGTTTTTACTGATGCAAAATATAAGAGGCTCGTCGTTCTTAGATTGGTGTGATCCATCTTTTAATCAATCGATCAATAATATAGGTTTGTAGATAAAAAGAAACGTAAAAGAAAGAATTTATACGACCTACAAAATATATATAAAATATTATAACACGCTCTCAAATTGGAATTATTGTTCCGTATGGATGTGTTTTTGATAAATAAAATAATGTCATCAATTATGTAGGCACGTCTCACATGAAACGTTCCCATTTTTAGCTCTAGTATGTTTACTGTTGAAGTAACTTTTGACTTTTGACTTATGACTATTTATATTCAATGTAATAAATGTATTAGCGTCATCGTTATCAACATAACTATATTTAAATACTGTCTATAGTTTACGCGAGTAGTACACGTTTATATAAAACACTTAAACGGTTTAAAACGCGATAGTTTAACTTGAAATTATTTTTAACTTCGGCCATCATTTTCAAATATGTTTGACTAATATATCGCGTTTTAAACCGTTGAAGTGTTTTATTGAAATAAATAACTATATTTATTAGAATAAAGTTGTCATAAAATTTCAGTACAGATCTAAAATAATTATCCCTTCGATTATGCAATATTTACTACCTGACGTATTTTATTAAAAAGTAAAGATAAAAAATGTCAATCATCCTTTCGACAGTCGGTTAAAGAATAAAGAAATATCGTAGTGGCACAGAGTAACTGTCATTATTTTTTTTTATAAGAACTAAAAATATACATTTTTATATGCAATAATTTCCTTTTATAGATAAATACTTTATATTGTCCTACAAAAAAGGCTTTACAATTAAAATTTTGTATCCACGAGATATTGTCTATCTATTCAATTAACAAAAATATTTTTGTTCTCTTACTATTTTAATAATCTTATAAAGTACAATAAATTTGTTGTTTTAATTCCCTCTTCAAGTTTAAAACAAAATAAAACTAAAATACATCTGTGACTCACTACTCTGTAACCGATATCGTACTAACGCAGTTGACCTTCAAAGCACAATCAGCCGCACCGCTCTATCTGTAGCATTCCAAACATAAATCCCTCTCTTTCCCTCACCTACGGACACGAGTGTAGACACTTCAAACGCACCTCCCGCAAACTGCTGTGAGCCTAGTATCACGCGCGCTGAAGAAAAGGGTTTATCCGACGCCAAATGGCGCTAGAGCCCCTAGGATTTTCCGAAAGGATCGTTTTTCGCGGGAGCTTAGGAAATAGAAGCTGTCTCTTTGAACGCTTTCAAAATAAAAGTTTATTCCTCCTCGTGTAAATTTATCGGACTTTTTCAAGTTTTCTAGGGCCGTTAGTTTACGATTAACCAACCGCCATCCTAGAATAGAGCAACTAGACGCGACAACTTGCTCGGTTGCTTGCTCGTCACACAGTTAATTTTGTCATCTATGTTGTATAATGTCGACTGTCGAGGATTTTAAAATATACATAGGAACGAAATTAATAGAACTAAAAGAATATTATTTCAAAAGAGACTAAATTTAGAGCTGATCAAACGATTACAACATATTGGTAATAAATTCTAGAAGCGATCGATTTCCTACATAATGTAAACAATGTTTCTAGATAAGCTGACCACACTCAAATATAACGATGCAGTGAATTTAGCATTAAGAGTCCCCGTGCTGCAACTAGATCTATCCCTCGCCGGGAGGGTCGCGGCTCGTGAGTGAGGGAGAATTTCTTGCAGGGTTTGTTGATGCTTTTAGTAAATAGGGTTGCTTACAGACAAGTTTTATCAGACGTAATATTATTATTATTTCTTAAAGAATCTTCTTCTGCGGGTCTCTTGATATTAGAGAATTATTAAATTACATAACAATTTAGAATCTGTAACGACGACGTTTACCTAAGGCGATTTATCGTATCAATCGAGCGACTCTGACACGGATAATCTCTGGAGCAGCAGGGTTTTAATGATACGTGAAATAATTGTCCCGAAATAGCCAGCCCTAGTTCCCGCCAGTCGGTCGGCGGGAAGCACGCCAAATGTTTGTGACGGGCGGCCGGCCCCGAATTGCGACGACGTGATTAGAAATACTCTGCCATCAGTGTCTCTACTATGTTAGTCATCTCTTCGCAAGTTATGTTTACGCAGTAGATATAATTGGAATCAGCATGAACGTTGTTTTGTGACAAACTATGTTCATATTGTTTGTGTTCGCTTTAATTTTTCTGATAATATAAAAAAAATGAGGAATCCAACACAAGATATAAAAATAAATAAATGAAATTATATTAAACCTATCATAGATCAAAACCACAGATACTGTCTATAGTTTACGCGAGTAGTACACATTTAAAGACATGCATGCTTAGACAAGATAGAATTGCTAGTTATCTTGTATATTTATTAAATAAACTTAGCTAATTAGATGTTAAGTAAACTCACGATGGCATCAGTTTAAACCTTAGTGGTTTTTTATTGCTATCAATATATAAATAAATGTATTGTTATGATGATATGATAAATAAATAAATAAAAAAAATAAATAAATAAATAAAACACTTTAACGGTTTAAAACGCGATATATTAGTTAAACTATTTGAATTTTTTTTAACTTCGAATGCTTTGCAGCAGCCGTGGTCACGGGGACGACTGAACGTCTGAAACGTCAGGCCGAAGTTAAAAATGATTTTCAAATAAGTTTAACTAATATATCGCCTTTTAAACCGGTGATAAAAAGTAGCACGCAATACAAAAAACATATTACAGATTATACAACGTCCATATCTTGCGCTTTGCTTGCGATGCGATGAAAAATATGTGAAAATAACTCCTGAGATGTTTTAACTATTATTATAATACTTATAAGGTAAGAATGATAAAGTATAATAGGTGCTCAATTACACAGCAGTGCCTATAACAAAACAACCTTCAAATGCGGAAAACCACGAAATAAGGAAAATAGACAATTTATTGATATGGAAGTCTGTCCCTATAAATAATACTACCTACATTTTAGCTACCTGTTAATCGTAACATAGAATTATGTTATTTAAAAATATTTTTTTACTGCTTTTAGCAGGTTATTTCGCAAACAATTATAAATTATTTTTACTTTAAATATTTTAAATCAAACGAGAAAGGTAAGTAATGAACAAATTGGTGAAATCGACGAATAAGAAGGTAGAAACATAGTCGACGTAATGCCTAATCGCAATCATGTCATATTGTTGTAATAATTTAGTGGCGGAACATACACACATCGAGACATACACAGACTGTCAAAATCTTTAACCCTTAAACAAAACTTCCGGCAATTATTTGATCTCGATTTCACATCACTGGTACTGCTAAACTATCAGAGAATGAATAACGAACTACACCAAAGTTTCAAATGCCTATGTACATATTTAGCAATGTATAATATTCTTAAAAATTTGATATTTTCTCAGGGGTAACATCGAGGTACTGACTAGAGTTCCTGCTCTGAAACATATTTCACTTATGAAGTATGGGGGGTAAAGTTGTTTGGGATCCTCTCCACGTGGTAAAACGTTGGAGACCAAATAAAGTATAATAACGAGAGATCTAATCATTCATTTTTCATAAGTACTACAGAGCAATGTTGTGCAAAACAAAATTTTCAGATGCTTTTTTTTAAAGAGAGAAAAGAGATTGCGTGACTAACAGTTATAAAAGCGCGAAAATAAAATCGAAAGTAAAATAACTAAACCATATGTAATTATCTTTTTTTTTTAACAACCAAAACTTTTTAATTCTTTACCTTTCTTTCTAAAACATCGGGTGGAAATTACAAATAAATTAACGAATATAATTCGCGTTTTGAACTATCTAGTGTTTCTTATACAATTTTAATTAACGTTAGCTATTATTTTGCCGAAAAAAATCTTACGTACATTAAAGAGAAAATAAAAAATGCAATTTTCCACACTCAAACAAGGTAAGACACAAGTTAGAAATGCCTAGTTTTTTGTTTTGTTTCAAAACAAAAAACCTTATAGATCAATTTTGCAAAGTTTTCAACTGCAAAATTGTAATCGAGTTAGTTATAATTGTAATTCTGATTAGCATGTAATTGGCTTGGTTCGTACGTACCTACATCCGTTAAGATTTTTATCTAGCCATACCCACTGCGTCCGTTTCTCTTTAATGTAATTAATTTAAAGAGAAATAATAACCCATTTTACAGACATACCTTTTTGACAAAATACTAGAACTACTAATACTAAAATGATCAATAACTTAAGATTCACATTCTAATTTAATACATTTTATGTCTCTTTAAAATATTACTACATTGTAGATAAATAAAATCTGTTCAGAATCGAAACAAATCGCCGTCATTAAAAATATATGAATGAACACGGTTCGCGATAACGACCTTTTAAAGATAACAAACAACTGGTTATCAATTAAGTTATGAAAAAAAAAGAAGATAAAAAATATGTTGTATTTCTTATAACGGGAACAAGAATCATAATAAAAGAGAGATTTTTTTTTGTTTTTTAAAGAATTTTTCATTGTCTGTAAGTAATTTCATTCCTAACATTCTTATCGAACTATCTATCTATTTAGGTTCCACTATAGTATTTTTTTTAATGGAATCGATTCTTCGATACCAGCAGAATGACGTCATATCGCATCACTATTTTTTGCAAGTATCGCAACCGTTGTAAATACATACAATTACCAGGGTTTAAGAAATAGCAAAGAGATAGTATTGATTAATATTAGTTCTGTAAGTTTATAAAATTAATATACAGATAAATGTACATAATGAATCTAAGACCGTAAATGAAAATTGTTATCATGTTCCTGCTTAGGTATAGTGCTCCCAATGTAAATTATTTAAATAAATTTAATTAGTTTTATCTTATAAAATGTAACAAAAATAGACTTACCAATATCATGAAGCCGGTGATTATCCTTTTGTGAGAGTGCTGCGAAAAGCCCGGCGTCACCAACCCGTTGCCGCGCAACCGCTATTCCCACGGGAATAGATCCTGAAAACAGCAATAATGATATATATATGCTTTCTGAAGAGAACAAAAAAATATTATAAAGAAAATTCTGCTTTAATAAAAAAATATATAAGTAAAGGATCCTTAATGCTAACCTACTACTACCGTTTATAGTTTAGATATAAATACAATTTAATTTAAATAAAACATATAATAAATAAAACTTTAATTATTACATAAATTTATAGTAATACCTAAAAGTACTAGGATGTTATAAATAAAAGAATACTGCAAATACGGTAAGAGGTATTTAATATAATTACAGTACGTATTATGTTAATTAATGTTAAAATCGAAGTAAAGGAGATTAGTCTAACAAGCCTAAGCCTACACTTAAAATTGATTAATACAGCAATCCTATACACATTGTAATTAATTAAAAATACTTTTAAAGGAATAGTGGTCGTAAACGCAGTAGCTATATATACAAGAGCATAAAAATCCTCTACAGGAATTTTCACGCAACTGCTGCACTGTGCCCTGTTTGTTTGTTTGCGGCTTCTGACTTCCGAGGCTAGGTGACGTAAGAAGAGTTAACTGAACCGTTATTTGTACGGTGCACGTACCAGGAGATAATGAATAACTAAGTAGTATGATGTTGTTCAACGATAAGTTGGTTCTTGTTTGGAAATATCTTGGATCGTTTTTTGGCTCTCTCTCTTCTGACCTCGTTTTTTAACCTTCACCCTGATAAAGCACAAAATGTGGCTTTCCATTGACCAGAATCGCAGAAAGTGTGAAGAGTGTGATTTAAAAGAGTACTAGTGTTTGACAATATTATCGAAAAAGAAATAATTAATTATTAGTTATTTATTACATATAAGTATTATTATATGAATAATCAAGATTAATGTAATTATAATAAAAAATAAAGGCACCTTATCGTTAAGTTTTTGTTCTAAGCATATTCATTATTTGTAGTGTATATGAGTATAAGAGACATGGAAACGAGGGAATTTATAAATAACATAATTACATATACGAAATTGTATAAATTAGAATACGAAAACTCACCATTGTTAAGAGAAACTGGTATGGTGGGCTGCTCGGGCTTGTTGCCAGGAGACGCCTGCTCCAATTTGACAGCGACCAGCTCTGAGACATGGACGTGTTGCGGTTCACGTTTAACCTGCACCTGGACGTTTTGACCAGCAACACCGAGCCAAGTGACGGGATTTGTGCGACTGCAGCCGCCATCCGTGTGAATTACCTTAACGATAACAAAGTAATGATAAAACTAGAATCAGAATTACTGCGACTTCAAAGGTCCTAAAGCCTACGTCGCTGTAATTAGTCAATTAAAGTCTAAACTATGTCTAGATAACGTTTTTAGGAGAAAACAAATAATTGTGATAGTTGAATGGCGCCAAAACTCGGTTACCTATGCGCATGTGCAGAACACTCCTACAATACCAGTTTCTGTAGGTGTTTCAACGCATGCGCGGTGCCTTTGTAAATGCGTTGGATTAGAGCAAAAAATAATACGTAAATCTTATAGCTTTCATTAAAATATTTTATATTCTCAAAGAAAAGGATTTTCATTGCGCATTTGCATTGGACACAGATAGTAAGGGTATATAATAGGCAAATGTTTTTTAGAAAAAATCGTTTTAGTTGATTTTTATACGATCTAGTAAGTTACGGTTTATCTTTTTTAAAACATATATAGACAATTTAATATCAAGTAAATATATATGAAAACACACCTTTTTAGGAGAGTTTGTGAGACATGTGTTACAGGTTCGCTTAGCCTGTTCAGTTTTGATAGTCAACGGTTGCATCATGTTGACACCCTCAATAATCTGACGTTGTTCTGGGCAGCATAAAGACTCTGGTATACATGCTTTGCCCATTTTGGTCTCATCCATTTTATTGCTATCCCTGTTCAAATAATACACATAAAATGACAAAGGACACAGATTATGTCTTTTACACTAATCAAGTTACTTCTGATTTGACACTAAATACTATTATTTTTTTACATGATGGCACTATATAAATTTAAAATCGAAATTAAATAAAAAAAATACGGTACGGGCAGGACTCGTAATGTTTTCAAACGATAAGCTTTGTAATTTCATCTTCAATGATTTTCTTAAACTACTAAGCGTGAGACATTAAACCTTAAACCACAAGAATTAAGGTTAAAATTACATTGCGCAAGAGATGCATGTATCAGGTTGAAAAATTTGACAATGACGTGTAGGACACGGTAGCTCAATGGGCTAAAGCGACAGCACAGCCAGCGTGTGGATGCCAATTCGAGTCTTGAGGGGGTAGTAATTTTTTTTTAAATTCATAATATTTTTTTTATTCACTAGATATTATACAATGTTCAGAGTCAAAAGTATACTCACTTGTCAGCAACAAGAAGTCGGTTGCAGTTAAGCAGTTCCAGTTGCAAGGGCGAATATGGAGAATTGGGCGGCGGAGTCGGCACGCCGAACGTTGACAGCGACGTTGAGAACAAGCTCTCCGTTACTGTTGACAAACGAACGATTTTAATTACCCCGCTAGCCTAATTAGGAATTTGCGTCATAGTCGAGTCGTGTAACAAAACTGCGATTACAGATAATAATATGCAAGTCGTTTTTGTACTGTAGTAATAAGTAATATTATTTTATTTCATAAGACAAGTAACATATTTTAGAGAAAGTACCTACTTGTGATAATACAATATACACAAGATGTGTTGTCGACCTATTTTGGTTTCGGATATTCGGAGATCCACAGACTGAAACCGAAACGCGATTAAAATGGCTTTTTCATCTGTGGATGATATTTTGAGAACCGCACGCATTTTAGATATTCCTACGGTATTTAATATCCAGAATTACAGAAGAAGTCCAACATGTTTCAGAAAAATTATAAATTGAAAAATCAGAAATATGTCGGACCCGGTGGGGATCGAACCCGCGACCCGTTCATTATTAGCCATACATTGCTACCATTAGACCAACGAGTCCATCAAAAACATCTAATATTATTCATACATAACAGGGCTTAATGGTTAAACACATTGCCTAGTATTTCATTAAGCAGATGTCATGGGTCTGATAAATGTCTTAAGTCTGATGGTCTGATGGTGTCTGAAGTCTGATAAATCCATGCCAGTAAAATTCAATAGATGGAAATGGACTCAGAATCGTGTTTACCCAATACTCCACGGGAGAAACGAAATTGCACTTTCTATCTGTTAGTAGGTAGGTACCATATAGAAATCTACAATTATCTGTTCTAATAGATTACTTTCGAAAATAAAAGTGTACAAATGGCGCTAGCGTAGCTTTATTTACTTTGATGTCAGAGACATCCTTCATCTTTAGTCTCCCCGTGGCCACGGCTGCTGCAATCCGAAACGTGGGGCCGAAGTAAAAATTATTATTTTTCAAATTAGTTTAACAAATATATATCGTGTTTTAAACCGTTAAAGTGTTTTATTTAAATACTCGCGTAAACTACAGACAGTATTTAATATAAGTGTGTTAAAAATCCCGCTTCTCCTACATGGAAAAATCACATTTTAACACATAGCCACAGGAAAGGTGGTAAAATTAGATGGAGAAAAGAGCCATATCTTTGTAATACATAGAGTGAGCTCATGATCTATTTTGGTTGTCCGTACGTATGAGACCCTAATTACTTTTACGTCAAGCATAAGCCCCGGGAGACTCAGGCGCACGAAACATGTGTCCAAAATGAGATTTTAAATAATTTATTGTAAAACATTTGTATTGTGTTCTTTACGTCTTTTTTCATTACAGTCTTTTATTTCCTAAATTATACTTTGTTGTGATTTACACGCTATCTATGTAATATATAACGGAAGCTAATACTTTAACTAATTTGAACCAAGTGAAACATCGCGCTAATGTCTAATAGGAGCCGATATATAGGGGGGAAATGTGAAATTTTCACCTCTGTGCTTTTCCCATGCGTACGCTACGAAAACGGTTCAAGATACCCGAAAAATATGTAGGAAAGAATGATTCCTTTTTAAATGATCTAAAAAAACGACGTTATATGTCTATCTTCTGAGATTAACTTGTAAGAACCACGGGAAGGGATGCGACCAAAGTCGTGGATAACAGCTTAAGTTTATAAAGAACGAATTTGGATGACCAAAATAATTATTCTTAGCGGACGATGTCGCTGGCACAGCTAGTTTATTTATACAGAGCCATCATTTGCAACAACATATGAAAAATATTAAAGTTTTATTTAAAAAGATACGTAACACAGCTAGAAACGATATTTCCATGTTTAAATTATTTAAACAAAACCTTTAGTATACCAAGTATACAGCAAGGATTATGAAACATAATATAAAAGTTATGTTCACATTTGACGTGCCTCCCCCAAGAATGCAATCCAAACAATTCTCATAGCATCAAATTCGTCGCGGTTATCAAATGTACCAAAGTGAACGAGTAGCGGGCACATCTGACTGCATTACTCGCCTGCCACTCACTCGCAGGTTTATTTATTTTCATTATCCTTATATTTAGAAGTTTCACGTCAGGACGAACTTTTATTTATATCAGAAGGGTATACTGCGAAACTGCTAACTCATTTTTTATGTTAAAGGACGGACTAACATGGGATTCTCTTGATGGAAAGTGTACGATCTAAATACATATATCTATACTAATGTATAAAGCTGAAGAGTTTGTTTATTTGAATGCGCTAACCTCAAGAATTACTGGTTTGAATTGAAAAATTATTTTATAAAAAAAAATTATCGAGGATGTTTAAGGCTATGAAACATAATGCCCCGACTAATAGGAGCGAAGAAACAGAGGGAGATGTGGAAATACAGATAGAAAGGAAAGATACTCAAAAAGAATGACTCTTTAAATCATCTAAAAAAATGTCCGCGACCCTACATATCTATCTTTTAAGATTAACTTGCAAGAACAACGGGATGCGACCGACGTCGTGGGTAGCTTCAATTTATAAAGATTATTGCAAAAGAAATTCGGATGCCCCAAATAACTATTCTAGGCAGACGAAGTCGCTGACCCAGCTAGTATCATATATACACTAGGCTGTCAACCTACTTCGGGTTTAGACGCAGATTTCTTGGCTTTAATTCGCGACACGAACGAAATTTCGATATTCCTGCCAACCGTTTAATATCCACCTTTACCAGACTGAGCGTGACAGGTTTCAGAAAATGTATAAATTGGGCTTTAGAAACATTTAAATAAAACACTTTTAACGGTTTAAAACACGATGTATTAGTTAAACTTATTTGGAAATGATTTTTAACTTCGGCCCGACGTTTCGGATGCTTTGCAGCGGCCGTGGTCACGGGGAGACTAAAGATGGAGGATGTCTCTGACGTCAAAGTAAAAATTGCTACGCTAGCGCCATTTGTTGCGTCGAAGTTGGTATTTGGCGAAACTGGCCTTGCAGGTCCTTGCTTCCTTTAGAAACATGTTGAATCGAATGAATCGAACCTACGGCCTACGTTGAATTTTAGCCATAAGTTGCTAGAATTGCATATCTGCACTATTTAACTTTTCTTTATTTAGCTATATGATGAGATAGAATACCCGCATTTTTATGCTAGAGGTGGACAAACAAGCAAGGTTCACTTGATGGTTGAAATACCCCAGCACTGTAACATCTAAACAAGATGCGATGCCGACCCATTTTGGCTTTGGATATTGGGAAAGACTGAAACCGAAATGAAACTTGACGGTTTTTCCATCTTTGGACGGTGGTTCCTGTTTCGGACGGAATTTCAATATTCCTACCATCCATTTAATATCCAAATTTCCAGACAACATTTAAATAGAGTAGAAAAATGTAAGACCTAGTGGGGATCGGACCCACGACCCGGTAATACATAAAATTTACAATACGGTCGGAACTTGAATTTGACTTAATCAATTGATTAGCACGGAAATATTTTTCCCCAGGAATCAAACCTATCAACCACTTAACGCAATGCGCAGAGCGTTTAATTATTTATCCAGAGGCAGTCAGCCATATTATGCGTGTAGTAAATGACTAGGGCGTCATACATATACAAAATATGTACAGCGATGTAGGTTATCGATTCGTGAAACAAGTTTACAGGCAGTGATGCGCAAGCTATAATCTATCCATACACGCTCGCTGGTCACTCGATACGAGGTGAATTAATAAATCTGATGGGCTAAACGCGTGGGGACCGCGACAGAGCCGCATTCTCATTCCTTAATCCCTGGTATTAAAACATTTCATGTGTCACATTTAATAATGTTACAATTATTGATTCTGTATATTGGGTCCTATTGCTTCACAACCAAATGTTGTCTGTGGTATACGCGATTGAGACACTATCAATCACATTTTTAACGGTTGCAAAACGCGTAAATTAGTAACAACAAGCTAATATTTAACGTGTTTTAAACCGTTAAAGTTTTCCGATTAATCAAGACTTAGGTGCCTTTTAGGAGATGTGGTCGCAAGGGGACAAAAGATGGTAGAAATGCTTTTGTGAAAGGAAAAAAATAAGCATCTTTGTATTTCGGTGTATGTTTAGTAATAATCAGATATCTAATATTTGTTTCGTAGATTATTACTGTAATTTAGTTAATCCGGCGCAATTATAACTTGGTCTTTTCCACAATTCCTATATCACGAATCCGTGCCAAGAGCACGGAATATTTCCAATCAATTTGTCGCGGTGGGCTGTCACTCGAAAGTGTCAAGTTACACCGCAATCCGTCCCATTATCCCGTTCTAATAGAATTTTTTTCATTAACCACAAGGCAAGCTGCTAGGACCCTTCTAAAAGCCAATTTATCACGGGTGAACTGCAACGAAAATCGACAGACTAAAGTACATTTGGGAAATTATTCAATAAGGATATAATATTATGGAGATATGAATTGAAAAAGACGGAAAGTGCGGTCTTAATTTAGGCAAGGGTTCCGTAATATTGACTAGGTATTCCGTCCGACTCCGTGTTGCAAGTTATTTTAAAATGTACACATTTATTATTCCCCGATAATTTTTAGATCATTTAAAGAGGAATCATTCTATCCCACTTTTTTTTGGGTAACCGTTTTCGCAGCGCGCGCAACGGAAACCCTCATAGATGAATAATTTTCCCCGTTTATTCCACATTTCCCACTGTTTCTTCGCCTATGTTATTTCACCTACCCACTGATATCATTGATATAGAAAATCATCTTTGTTGTAAAGCTTTTGTTTTGAGTATTTGTTGTTTTAGCCGCAAAAGACATACATATCTTGTGTAATTACAACTCTCTAGCTCTTGTGTACTGCTTGGTGATAGCCAAAATGACAGATAGACGGACATACAGACAGCAAAGTCTTAGTATGAGGTCCTGTTTTTCGTTTTATCTCGTTTAGGAGGTACGGAGGTAATATTATACCAATGGCTTTAATTGTGCCTAAAAAAACTTTTCACGTTTAACGCTTACATTTTGTATATTTCTTTGGTATAAGAAGTGTGTGTCCCTTAATATGTAACATCACGTGCGAAAGTGCAATTTCAAAAACAAAATAGTGTCGTTACTCACATCAATTGTGTACGCGACATATTTAAAATACAGATATTCCAAATGTTAATTGCAGTTTAACGACTAAAGTGCATCATAATCGATAGCAATTAATCTATAAATACCTTTGTGTATCGAAGTTCTGTTATTTGATCCTTGATTCGGGAACAGGGAATACAGGGGGAACCTCGCAACACCTGCGCATAAAATAAAATATATGAATAAAAGAAAGACCTGAAATAAGTCAAATATTAAATTTGGTACTAATTTTAAGCGTTTAGCATAGTCGGATGTCGGTCGCAGTTTCGAGTTTTGTGTATAGGTAGGTATCCGCTTTATTTATAGTTAATACATCTAGTATTGTCTGTAGTAAGTACACATTTCAATAAAACACTTTTAACGGTTTGAAACGCGAAATGCCGTTACAAGCGTTTTTTTAATACACACTTTTATAAAAGCCATCGATTGGTGAAATGAATTCGTTTCTTCCAAATAAAAATGGAAATCATTGATACCCAACGAAATACCAGGCTCACATACCTTGTTGGAGATCAGAGGGCGGGCGGGAGCGGGCGCCCCCCGCCGCCCCGCCCAGCATCGCCCCTCGGGCTGAACCACCTCACCACCTTACCACCTGCGACAAACATTACGTATAAAATAAAAGTACGAATGACGACTTTATATGACTAATAACATAGAAACAGTGATATGTAATTAAAAATAAGATTAAATTTTTATTTTCAACAACTTTTAGTGCTAAATGATCTATAGTCAGAAATACCTCCGCCATTTAACATCTTTATTATATAATTACATTTTTCATACAGTGTCTGCTCCTTAAGATGTTTCCAAGTACAATTTTGGTATGAACGCATCAAAGAAATATCTTGTTCACTTTAAAAAATCAAGCAATAAAAAAAAGTAATTTAATTCTCATAATGACAACTGACGCCTATGTTAACGTCGACAATACAATAATTTAATTCGTAATCAATTCGGACACGAGGTAGCAAAAACTCAAGCAAGCCATACAAAGTCCTTATAACCAGAAAATAAAGATCACTAAGCCCTCCCACGCGTGGGATAGACAAAAAGCCTATTGTGTGAAGTGGAATAAATTACGATAACCCGTTTAAAACGCTTTTAGGTAAGGTACGATTTATTTGTATGGATTTCTTTGAATTCGACGAGGGAGAAGTTGGAGCGTTTAGTTTTATGGGTGGCGGCGCGGGGTTAATTAGGTTCCGAGATGGAATTTATTTTTTTATAGACTCCAATTTTAATGCCCTTCATATAGACATGCAGAACATTTTTGACGTTTAAAAGGTATCTTAACCTTTTTTTACCTAAGATATGCAATCACGAATTTACGAACAAAATTATTCAGTGTACCTCAGTTTATAAAGCAGTTGTGCTTAGCTACTAGAGTTTTCGACGTTACCTTCGCATTATTAGTTGTTGATCGTTCGTCAACTAACTTGGACAATCTCCGTTTAGGTGAGGAACGTTCAACGTCTGCTCGCTCGGGATGGCGAAACGTCGAGAACCATTTCTCAATTACAAGCCCAACAGCGTAAAAACATAAATTGACTAGATCACATGTAACATGAACATCCATGCGATTACACAAGATCAATACTTGTATTATAAAGCTAAAGAGTTTGTTTGTTTGAACGCGCTAATTTTAGGAACCACTGGTTTCTTTTCATTCTCTTTGTGTTAGAGAATTTATCGAGAAAGTATTAGGCTATAAAATATTACGCTGCGACCGATGCAGTGAAGAAGGGAAATGTGGAAAAAAACGGGTAAAAGTATTGATCTTTGAGGGCTTCCGTTGCGTGAGATGGGAAAACAGTTTAGAATGCCGAAAAAATATAATGAAACAATTGTCTTTAAATACCTAATCTAAAAAAATGTCCGCGACAGTTTATGTCATTGTCTTCTCCATCTTTTAAGATTCACTTGCAACTACGAGACGCGGACGACGTACCTACACGTTAACAACTATGATTTATAAAGATGATGTTTACTAAAACCAATTCGATACCCAAAATAACTATCCATCATACATAGTTAATATAAAATTAAATCTTTAAACTGTACTCGGTCCTAAATACGCATTAAAGTTAGTTGAATAACAATTTTACATCCCGGTATTAATGTTCCGTAGCTATTTTTGTCTGGTCCTTTCATACTCTCAACAACTCCAAAAAGATATACACGAAGTTTTGTATACAGTCTAAAATTAAGAGCTTTTCACTTTCAAAACCTCTTCATAAGTTAATTTACAAAAGTTTGAATACTCACGCTCATTTGCTAAATTATAACTTAATAAGACAGACCCTTTTTATAAATGCTAATTGTGGACACTCGAAGGATTTTGAGAGGCTGTTTTTTTAATGCTCCATAACAAATTATGATATCTATACCTACTTAATATACCTATTTTATCTGCACTAGAGGCGCTTTTCGGTTTTATCTATTCGGTTATGTTTAGGCAAGGCGAGCACTAGGACTTGGAAATATCATACCCGTTATGGGTTTGTACTCGTAAGCTAAGTCCCTCTCTTTCCCCTTAGGGGAGAATTTCTACTTAACTGATGGTTACGTCACAAAATATCGCACAAAGAACTCTCCCCCAGATGTTAGTATCCACGTCGCAATCAGTCGAGATAACGTATTATATTTATTAAGATTCGTTAAAATTCTGAATTAATCTATATATATTATCTAATTTAATCTTAATATCTACAATTCAAGCATACATATTACTAAATACTAAATTCAATGTAGAACAAACAATATTCACGATTTATCGACAGATGAAGAAAGTACGAGGTATTTAGAAAAAAACGTTCGGCTGTTCTAAGGGGTGCTGCTAAGCAACAGTCTCCGATGAACTGTTTAGCGACACGACTTGGCAATCCCCAGATATCTATCATAAATAATAAAAATGATAATGGCCAAAAACGGACGTTTAAATTGAAGAATGTCAAAAATTATAAAGTATTAAATAACTAATAATAATTTAAAAATCGAAAATAAATTGGAAAAATTTTCGATTTTTGAATTATTATGTATAGTGCCATCAGGTGCAAGAACATGTCAAAAATATTAAAGTTTTCAAAGTAATAATAAATTTAGGAAATTTGATTTTTTTATACATTTTGTGTTTTTTAATATTGTCTTCTGCTTCTGGTTCCTCCATTACTGAGGTTAGCCGTTAGCTTTTGAAAGCGACTGGTGTCCTTTGCGAGATGTTTAGCAATGCGTCAACCGTCTTCTTCAAATCATTCAAATCACTATCCTCGTCTATATATATATGCCACATTCTGATGTTCCACAGCTATGACTTCTTCCTCCTTCCAACACGTCTTCTGTCCTGGATTTTTCCCATCATGGTAAGTTGGAAGAGGCTGTAGGACGTGCCCCAGTCATGCGACTTTGCGCTGCTTGATAGTCCGTAGCAGTATTAATATATCAACTATGCTTCCGTTACTGGACAGTATGAAAGATCAAATCGGAATTTAAACACTTATTAGTAATTACCAATAAAAATGATAAGGATTTATATATTTTTCCTAAACTAAGTGTCAGCAGAGACAGTTCATGTCAGTTTTATGAAGGTTAGCAGCCGATATATCTAAGTATATAATTTCAATGTTTCTTCGGAAAATGACTATAGATAGCCCGTTTACAAAAGAGCCAGTTTTGATTCTAAACGCTCACAAAAAATAATTTCTAATTAAAAAATTCTAACTTACATTCATCCGTCCGTTACACTTACACGGATTATGACTGGGCGGAGTTCAACAATTAACTAATTGTACTAATTAGAGCTACGTGTTAATTAACCAAGGGCCGGACAATTTTCCCCTCTTCTATGTGTTAAGATCTATCAAAAGTCCCCACCAGTAGCTTCATATTTTTACGTAGTTTAGAATGTAAGTATATGCCTATAACTGAATTCCTCAAACCATAATGCTATGCTATGATAGAACTTGAATACATTTACCTATTAGTATTTTAGAAAGCGTCAATGCTGATGATGCTGTTTTATATAAAAAACCCTGAACTTATGTTTACATATAGTATTACTAGTTCTCGAATCAAGGACAAGAAAGTCGCCGCCTGAAACAGACAGAACTCGAACCCACGATAAACGGAGCCGTTGCTTTATCAACTTTTACTTTAATCTTGTCAGGATTCCGATTAGATCAATGTCATAGTCAAACTTGACTGATAAAGTAACGTAATTTGAGCCATTGGTTCTTCTGGCTTAATTTGTTTTTTAAAATATAATCAAATAGATTATTAACGTAACACAGAATTTGTTGAAACAGTAATGGTAGAATGTCTGGTTAAAAACAGTCAAGAAGAGATACAAGACTCAAAACACAAGAGCACCAATAATATTGTTTAGACTTCTATTTACATGCATTATGCCTTAGTTTGCAGTCAGAGATTGAACCACTGTCGACTGATGTTGTGTGTTTTCATGTATGTTCGTTTTCTTGTCTTCGTAATAATATGGTATTTACATTTAGACCCAGCACAGGAGCCTATTATCAGCCGGAACCGATAACTTATCGTGCGGCGTTTGTTTTCAGCTTCATTTGACGTCATTATGCATTTTACTGTGCCTTTAATGAACAACGTATGCTAGACATGCAAAATTATATGAATCTCCGGTTTAAAACGCCATATTTTAAGGCTGGACCGAAAGCGCGTATAGTGAAGACGGTTATAGCAGCAGTTCAAAATTTGTTTTCTCTTAAGAACTAACATCATAGAAATCATAGAAAGTGGATATCTTCAGAATCGGGTCAATTTACTTTCATAGGTGTAAAATCCAGGTAGAATACTTGCGTAGGGTTTGAAGTTAATTTTTGTAGAAATGCGATGTATTGTACTCTCTAATGCAATAACAGGTTATAAAAGGGAAGAGATAAGGAACAAAGATCCAACTAAAAATGTTTCAATTGCCCACAGTTAAAAATAAAGATTAGAACTTGTCAAATTCCAATAGAAAGTAGATAATAGCGACGGGTTCGATTAAATTCGTAACTTCGGGCCGAGAATTAAGCGAACAAGGCGACAAAAAAAAATTACGAAAAAAAAGTTCATCTTAGTTACGTAGCAAGGTTAGTGCGGTGGTCATTTAATTGGTTATATCGATAGTTTTGAAGTTATATAGTTAGAGCTACAAGTCAAGTTTAGTTTTACAATAAAACAACATTTTCAATTGTTTGTTATCCTTTACAAAGTTTATCTATGACGACGATATAGTTATGTATACAATATTTCCATCATCCACTATGTTTTGAAACTCTGTAAGAATCACGGTTTAAAATAATAATTACATCGTAACAAAAATTCCGTAAGTGTTTCACACGAAACAATTCAAACGTCTAAATCAAACAAAAACAGAGAATCTATGATAATAGCTGTAATTATTTAGAACATTTCCATCGCTTACTGTACCAATTAGGCACACTCCGGCATACTTGAGTGAACACGGCATACCGGCCAAGTCATTGGTGCATTCGTGCAATTAAAGTACGATCTCGCAAGATAATTGCATTCGTAATTTACGCA